CTTTTCGGCTAGCAATTAATAAATGGAAATAGTCTACATGAAAACTCAATTTTCCGTAGTTGTGCCGTGGCAGGGTTAAGAGAAGCCAGGCGGCAATACCATTTGCCACTTGAAATGCCCGCCTTTTGTGTAAATATCACGTACCAGCTCCAGTAGCGAAAAAAACTATGCTCCGGCATTTCGTTTAAGTTTCTCCTGACTCCAGCTCTGACCCTGTCTCTTTCTATGGCTTTGTTCCTGTCTCTTTCGACTATCCATCTCTCTTTATCGTATTGTTTGTACGTGTAGAGGAGGGCATAAAAATTTGTAACACTCTCATGTAATCCGTTTGCCGGCCTCTGGTTCTGGGTCTGTTTCAGTTTCAGTTTCTGTCTGAGCCTGGTTCTTGGCCTGGCCCTGCTTTTGGCTATCTGGCGACAGCACTCGTCGCCCTGGCAGTTTGTTTTTCCAACTCTATCGCCACCCGGGGCCCAAAGACTCGCTAAAATTTGCCCCCATCCCCCTGTCGGCATGTCGTGCATTTTATTTCAATTTCATTTCGATTCCATTTTTGAGTTAATGACTTCCCGACATGCAAAGCGTCAAAGGACTTGGCAAAAAAACAAAAGTTCCTCCTGCGGGACAACTCCACACACTCCCAACAGGATGAACTCGATATACATACGTATTTATACTTATTCATATGTATGGAATCTATAAACCATCAAACCATCGATGATATTTATTGACAAAGTTTTTGGCACATATCAATATTTTTGTTTTTCGTATTTATTTATTTGCTTGACTTTTTATTCCCGTTTTTATTTGGGCTTACCAAATGTTTTTTAGCTTCAGTCAACAAAAGTTTTTGGTTTTTTAATACTTTTCTTTATGGATTAACTTTTGGTCGTCAGATATTGGCATATGTAGGCAATAAATGTACCAAATATACTAAGTATAGGTAATAGTAATGGATCAAAAACATATAATATTTTTAACGAGTTGTTTTAGTGATTTATTTGTTTTAGCCTCTATCCTCTTTTCATTCTCCATAAGATGTCATGTAAGGCTTAGATAGAAACTCATATATTAAAGTCAAAAGTTACAAATTATGTTTAAGTAAAAGCCTGTCACTTTTTTCCTCCGAGATAATGGGTTGAAACCCATTGAAAAAAATCCGTCTAGGGTGTCCAAGTTGGAGGTCACAGAGAAGCCATATGGAGTCCGTGCCGGACTCGACGAGACGGCCTGAATATAAAACCGGAAACAGTTAACAACGGCTAAGCCTTTTGGCCACTTACAACCGTTAAATGGCATTACAGAGCGTGACAGAGCAACGGGAAGCGTTGATGCTGACGTCATTAGCAAGGATTTCTGTATCCCAGTTTGAAGTTTTATTTTTGGAGGGTTACGGACCGGTACACTTGACCTTTGCCACCACATGCGTTAAGTGCTGCCTTCGAAAATTAATGACAAAGTAATGTCAGTCAAATGGATAGACAGGCCGAGGCAATCGGACAGGTTAGACAGGCTTTCAAAGTCGGAAAAGTCGGGCAGAGTTGGCCAAAGAGGAGAGTGGAAGCAAAACCGGAGTATAACCATCAATTCCAGAGACCCAAAAGCCCAAAACCCAATTCTATGGAAGCATCCTGCCACTCTGCCATCCATCTATCCATCCCTTGTCATGTCATCGTTGTTCCAGCTACTGTGGCCATAGCGACACTCGGCTCAACTTCGTTCTAGCCATTATATTCGAGTTATCCGACCTCTCTGATCTACCCAGTTACTGTTTTTTTGTTACTGCTACTGTTTCTGCTACTGTGGCAGCAACCTGTGCAACCTTCGCATACGGAAATTTTAGCTCATTGACGTTTTGCGCCGTCTGTCGCTGTCGCTTTGAATAAATAACTGACGTGCCGCAACAGACACATTATCCCGAACCTATACCTTTTTACCCACAAGCACATACATACACACATCTGTAGTTCATCCCCTGTGCTCTCGGCAACAATACAATCAACTGAAGGAACACCGTTTACCTGAACAAGGACCCATCTTCATTTCCACTCTCCGTTCCAGTTTCCCACTCCACATCCGTCGTCATCTTTGACAGTCTAATCGTCTGTTGGACTCGCTCCCGTTTTCGGTATTCCAAAGAGCAGCCTCCTGGCGGGATGTCCTCCCTTTTGGCAGCCACCTTCTGTATATTCAGCCCCGACCTAACCAACCATGCCCCAGTGTTTATGCAAAAATTGCCTGCCGCATTGCCTGTGGAGTTTCAGAAAGCCCCGAGGCTCCAGCCTCATGGCCTGTCTGATGTACTGTTCTGTCTCTGACTCTGTCTTTGGAAATAGACTTGAATGTCTGTTGGCCTGGCATCCTGACAACTGCCTGGCACAGTGGATATGATCCAGGGATTAGTCACCCCTTTGTTTAACAGAAATTTTGGTTTTTAAAGCAGATTTATCAGAAAAATAATCTATTAGCAAGGTTAATTCTTTAGCAAATACTGGGCAAAATACTATAGAGTCCTTTTACAATGGTAGTTCTATATTCCTACTTCGTTCACTTTCCTAGACCACTTCAACTTCCAATCAAAACTTACGTTTGTCGCCAAACAAAAGCTAAAATGCCAGTCCCACCTCATACCGCTTTCATTTCCTCAAGGAGCCATAAATTCATCATTTTCGCACCACTGTGCACATTAACTAACTACCTACAATGACTTCCTGGCACACATATACAAACATACATCCGTGAAAGCCGCCAGGACTCGACTTTTGACGTTTACCACAGGACGGATGGAGGGGCATGAATGGCAAAAGTGAGTTATTGAAACTGTTTCAACTCATAAATAAATAATTACCGGAATCGCAAAATGCTTGGGCATAAAATGAGTTTACCTTGTCCAATGTTGTTTTCCTAATGTTTTTCCCTTCTCGGATCAGGAGCCGCACCGGGGCATCGCACTGATAAATACCCTTGTTTTCTGGACTACCAGAGGGTATACACTGGTCTTCATAGTAGAGGTGTCCTGGGTTAAGCTTGGTCTCGTTATATGCTTTTCTAAGGTTTATACAAGGGTCTAGTGGTCTACTAGGCTTCAACATTTCCATTAGGGAAACAAACAGACACGTCCATGGATTCGACACCCAAGGTGGAAATTAACTATACTTTTTCTATTAGAGATCTCTTACCTCTTTAATTGTGGAATGAAAGTACCAACAAATCGACCCCATTTTGTAGTACATAGTTTCTAATTTGATGCCCTCCATTGTATGTTTACCCACAGAGGGTTCTGACCAGTGGCAACACTTGAACGTGGTAATAGATACTTAAATAGTAATTTAGTAGCTTTTCCTAACCGCATGGATGGACATATGAGATTTTACGCCGATTTTGTTAAGAGTGTTCCCTCCCTTGGTCCGGCTAGGGTTTTTTATTTATTTTTTTGCAGACTTTTATTGCTCTACACTTGCTTTATCGGACATTTCATCTTGTTGGCTTTACATATCCCATATCCATTCTATCCAAACTGCAATCAAATGTGGCAAGTGTGGCATGGCAGCCGGCTGGTATGTGGTGGAGAATTCTTTGGGCCAGGTCATGTTTCATGCAGGAGACAATCTATATGGTATGAGTTTCCGTTCCGGAAGGTTTACCCAGCTCCATGGCCCATTCGTTGGGATTTGTTTGTGGCTGTTGATTTGTTTCTGCATTGGCTCTGGTCCATTTGGCGCTGATTTGCCTTTAAGATAGCCCACCTCCGACCATTTTAATGTTTACGGTGTATTGTTACACGCCGGAAGGGCACCGAGGAGTTCAGGGGGCTTAGACCTTGGCTTAGACAGAAAGTTGTTAAGCCGACTAGTTGTTAGCCACTTGTGCAGTGTTGGGTGTTGGGTGTTGGGGTTTTGTGTTTTTGCCTTCAAGCCGACAGAAGATATGGCAGTTGTGTTTCAGCGATTAGACGTAGACCGATAATAACTTTGGTTTACTTAATGGACTTGGGGATGTCGGGCTGTTTGGTAGGATATTCTGGGCTGTAGGTCTTAGATATCTAACCCTAGAAGTTTCCTTAATAACAATCTGATATTTTATATTTCGGATGGACCAACTAACTTCTACAGGTACGAAGAAACCAATATTTGAAATTCAATAACCATTATTGGCAAAATATCAGAGAAACCACTCAAAACTTTACCCCAAGTTCATGTGTTGAAATACTTATAAACTTCAAATGCCTTCTTCCTGTGATAAACACTTACAACCTCGTTAAGCTGCCACCATTTGGGCCATGATTGCGTGTAGTTGCCGGGACTACAAGTAGGTCTATATATATGAAAGTAGTTTTTGGTAAATTGAAGCACGTGGACATGCCGCGACACGCCATAAAGTAGTGGAGGCAGCAATAGATGCAGCCAACGGGTGGTATGAGTGATTTTTTCCCCTTACAGATTTCTTTTCCTGAACCCTTGAAGGAGATGGCTTTCTATTCCTGCCTGTACATATATACAGTATATATATACAGCGACGTGATGCGTGTTCTTGGGTTAATGTCACTTCGATATGAAAAACTTGGAAACCAAAGTCAGGAAGCCAAAATGCAAATTGTTAACGTGACTAACAGGAGCGGCGCGTGCGAAAGAAAACAATTTATATCAATACGAGATCCTGGCTCAATTGCTAGAGCTCCAAATGTCAAATATGTGACATACTTTGGGTCGCGTTATTGGGCTCAAGTTGGTATTACATCCATGAACTAGATAGTTATCTAAGTGGGTGAGGAATTAATTTGTAAAGTCTGTTGTTTATATTCTTAGAGATGATATTTGCCTAAAAAGATGGAAAATGTGGAACATGGCGAAAGCTTTACGTAAAAGGTAGAATTACTGTCAATATTCAAGTTATTAACCTGCCAAAAATTAAATCCCTTTAAGCTAATTTAATTGCCTTTGAACAAAATCGATTTACCCGAACCTTAGTGATTAATTCCCCGCTGTGCAATTTACCAATTTCAGACCACCCTCTGCCTGTTAAGCACTCACGCCGTTTGGGCCAAGAAACTGAATGCGAGCCAAGCATTCGACGACACATGGAACACAGCATCGGATTTAGAAAATGAATTGGAAGTAAGTAGCCATGGCTTTTCATTCGGGCCACAATGGAGCAATAAGCCTACAAATGTCACTGCCAATTTGCAGCAACAGAAGCGGGCAAAGGGCCAGAATGGAGGTGCAGGAGGCGCTACCTCTGGCAGTGGACCTGGCCAGTGGTCGAGTTGGTCGGACTGGTCGACTTGCTCGCGCACCTGCGATGGCGGCATTATGCAACAGATGCGACGGTGCAGCAGCCCCGGCAGTTGCCGCGGCGAGAGTGTCCGCTATCGCATATGCAACATGCAACCGTGTCCGGAGCAACAGGACTTCCGCTCCAGCCAGTGCGCCGCCTACAATGATGTGCCCTACGATGGGACCCTGTACAAGTGGACGCCGCATTACGATTATGTCGAGCCTTGTGCTCTTACATGCAGGTGAGTTTTGGGCTTATAGCTACACTGGAAATAATGGAAAAAATAACAATAGGTTTAAACTTTAAAGATAAATACACTTTATTACCCCAAAAGTCTTCTAACATTATTTTTTCAAGTACCCTGTTACACACTCTGTAGAAGGATAACGAAAATGTGGCCGCACCTAATCGGCCTATGGTCCAGCTGTTCCAGTTGGCTGTGCACTCATTATTCATCATGGTTTCCGTTTGTCCAGTCAGTCGGTGTTGCTCCAAGTGGCTTCCATTTACGCCCCGTTGTGTCAGTGGTCTGGATGCCCATCCTGGTTCTGGGTCCAGTGACAATAAAAAAGCTGTTTGCACATCTTTTTTTTTTTTGCGCTTTTCATCCTTTGGTTGAGGCGTTTTTTCTTGGTTGCGGTTCAAATTAGTGGTGGCCGTGTTTGGGTTCTGGTTACTGCTGCGGTTTTGAGCTTCTGCGGTTAATCCATTTTGCTTTAGTTTTTGTTTTTTTTTCTCACAATTCCCTTGGATTGTTTTTGCACACATATGCGGGTTAAATAAATCATTGTCTAAGCTTTAAATGTTCTCTCTTAGTTTGTAAATGAAATTGAACAAAAAAAGCCATTTATAAGGGAGGTTTCTTGTAAGGAAGAACCTCTTTAAAAAAAGATAAACTGTAATAGTACTTCTGGTAGTTTTATTTTCCCAAAAGCACCATCTTTATCGTCAGCCTTCACCCAAATCAAAGATGAAATCAAGTGCAGCCAGCAGAGGCAGTCTGCTGGATTAGATTCATGAATAATCCGCATGGAAAATGTGTTCTATATCCGCAGGGGCCATCCAGCGCATCTAGTCGAGGACATATCCAGGGAGTCGGCCGGAGGCGGTAATCCCGAGGAGGCGGAACACTACGACGAGCAGAGCGTCATTGTGCAGCTGTCGGCCCGGGTGCAGGATGGAACTCGATGCCGTTCCGGCAGCCTGGATATGTGCATCCAAGGCAAATGTCAGGTAAGTGCAATTTGGTTAAACTATTGGGAGTCTGGGATGGGCTGGGTAGCAAACACTTCCCAAAATTGGGGACGGCGGCTTCCCTACCCAATTTCCTTCCGGTTTGGTTTGGCCCTTCCACTTCAACTGCTTTCCATCGGTGAGCTTCGGGGCGCAATATGATAAATTACGTCGACAGTGTGGGTGGCCCTGGGTGGTTGTGGGTCTTATTATAGGCCCGAAAGCCCAAAAGAGGCAAAAACAGGAGCTACTTTTGCTTGGGAGCCCGTTAAGCATATGTATATGTATGGAGATTGCATAACACAAGCGCCTTTGTATCATTATGCTCAGGCGCATAAATAAATCATAAAGTGGGCGCATCAACAGGGTGGGAGTGGCATTCAGGTTGTTCTCGGTCCCGGTCCCGGTCTTGGTCCCGGTTGCTGGCAGCGTCAAAAGTCAACTATTGAAATGCCAATAAAGCGTGCCCCAGGGCAACAGGAGCCAGCAGAAGCGCCAGCAAAAAGTGCTGCCAGGGAATTCGCCATGAAATGCGCTGCAAAGTATGCTACGATACGCTGACATGGGTGACGATGCCGAAGGGTGGACTGAAAATTGTCAGCGAGGGGTGGAACAATACTTTATGTAAATTTAAATTCAATTTTGTATAAAAAAGAGTTCTAATTGTTATGTCTACATTGACAATAATATTTAAAAAACAAGGAAATAAGTAAGAATCACTTTATAGCAAGAGCATATTTTTGAAAGCAACCCTCGTCTTCGTGAAGTGTCAAAAGAGCCAGCCACGGCTTGGCAGGCTTACAACTACAATAATGTCAAACGAAGTTGGCGAAAGCAGCAACAGCAGTTTGGGCCTCAGCCTCAGGCTGTCCCCTACACCTCCCCTTTCAAAATCCAGGACTTGGTGTTTGAGTTTCAGTTTCAGATTCAAAGGCCCATACAGTGGTGGTTAAATTTATAATTCTTATTATTTTAGATTTTATTTCAATAAATTTAAATTTGTAAAAAGGGCTCAAGCTGCTAGGTTAAAAATACAAATACTTAGTAATACTATATCCTTAAAGCTTCTTGTGAAGAACTTCAAGAGCTAACATTTTCCCCGCAGGTGTTCCCAGCACATGTGTGTGGGATGATGACATCTTATCCAAGTTTCGCCTAGACTCTGGCTGCGCTGTAATGCCGCCAAATCGTCACCCCAATTTGTTGTAATAAACGCCAATATGTCATGCGGTTTACGTTGTGTTTTATTTGTCGCCAAACAGAGTAGCAGCCACAGCGTTTGGCAGCTGCCAGAGGCATTCCACGTACACATATGTACATGTACGTATATAGGTATTATATATATCTGTTATAAATAAATCAAATAGAACGCTGCCGCGGGCTTTGACTTTGCCTGTTTGTCTTGCGGTTTAAACACACCCGCCAGCCGACAAACAATACATACGTATATCCGGAAAAAATACAACTCAACGCTTCCAAAATGTGGCGACTTGCATAAGATCCTTACATTGGCTTTGGGAAAGATAGGGTTTCAGTGTTCCGAGTTCCTTGTTGGCAGGACTTTCGGTGGAATAAATTATAAACAGCTCTGTGGGGAGATATGTTGGTTTAGGCAGGGATTTTAAGACGACTTTAGCATTAGAATTTCAGAGGAGATTAAGTATTGAATGACAATTTAAGGGTAGGAATTTAAGATTTTAAATGATGGACGTTCATAGAGCCAACAGTGCGGATGCGTAATATTTTCATTTCATTTCGGTGCATTTAATAAGATTCCATTGAAAAAATATTGAATATCTAACGGGGTAACCTTGGAAAAACAAGTACATCGAGTAACCTTCAAATGTCGAACCATGCCATGTAATGACCAAAAACATACAAAAACATTTCCACCGTGAACTTTGATAGAAAAAAAAAAAACAAATCGAAAGTAAACAGAATACGATGGCAAAGGAAGGTATTCCTCGATAGCCTCATTTCCATCAAGTCTGCTACAAATACAACCATAGTCAAAATTATTTTCACAACACACAATTATTTGCACATCCCAACTTCTTTTAGTTGTTATTCTTGTTGTTGTTGAACAATTTCACTGAAATAAATTTTATAGCGTAGCTTGATCTATGCTTAAGCGACAAAAAAAGAAATGCGAAAAATAGCGGTTCATAGGACAAAGCTAAAAGAAAAAGAAAAAAAACTTATCAGTTGTCGAAGTATTTGCACGTTTTCGGTGCGTCAAAATTATTTTCACAATGCAATTTCGTCATTAGTATTTGGTTTGCAGCGACAAGTGGCGGTTCGTTTTCTCTAATAAATTCAATTCAGTGAAAATTCAATTAAAATAATTATTTATCTTTTAGATTTATCTAAACAAAATGCCTAAAACAAGGGAGTTAACCCTTGAACTCCGGGCTGAAATTGTTACTAAGTTTAAAGCCGGTATTTCAGCAGCTGAAATCGCTAAACTGTATAAAATTTCGCGCAGAAATGTTTACTACTTAGTAAAAAGCGAGACACAACTGGCACTTTAAAAATAAAAAAGATCAGGCCGAAAACCTGTGTTGGACCAAAGAGAATGCAGGCACTTACTAGGAGTTGTGCGAGCAATCCAAGTGCAAGTCCATTGAAAATTGCCCAAGAATCAAAAAATATAATTGGTAAACAAATAAGTGATTCTACAATTCGTCGCAGGTTAAAGAAGCTGATTTTAAAACATATGTTGTCCGCAAAGTGATTGACATCACACCAACCAACCAAACAAAAGCCTCCAATTTGCATTGGAATATATTAAGAAGCCTCTTGACTTTTGGTATAATGTTTTATGGACGGATGAGGCTGCATTTCAGTTCCAGGGGTCCTACAGCCACCATTTTATGCATTTAAAGAAAAACCAAAAGCATTTGGCAGCCCAGCCAATCAATAGGTTTGGTGGTGGCACAGTCATGTTTTGGGGATGCCTTTGCTATTATGGATTCGGAGACCTCGTACCGATAGAAGGAACCTTAAACCAGCACGGATACGTTCGAATCCTTAATGACCATGCTTTTGTGTCAGGAAACAGACTTTTTCCTACATATGAATGGATTCTTCAGCAGGACAATGCTCCATGCCACAAGGGTAGGATACCGACCAAATTTTTGAGAGACCTTCATCAGGAGGTTCTTCCTTGGCCACCACAAAGCCCAGACCTAAATATTATCGAAAACGTTTGGGCTTTTGTAAAAAATCAAAGAACCATTGATAAAAATAGAAAACGCGACGGAGTCATCGCTGAAATCGACGAAATTTGGTCCAAATTGACCCTTGAATTTGCCCAAACTTTGGTGAGGTCAATACCAAAAAGACTACAAGCTGTCATTGATGCCAAAGGTGGTTTAACTAAATATTAATAATGTATTTTCATAAAATTAAGAAAATCGTTTGTTAAAATTAGATATTAAGCTAAAATAAATTAAACTAAGTTTTGTGAAAATAATTTTGACGCACCGAAAACGTGTGCAAATACTTCTGACAACTGATAAGCTTTTTTTCTTTTTCTTTTAGCTTTGTCCTATGAACCGCTATTTTTCGCATTTCTTTTTTTGTCGCTTAAGCATAGATCAAGCTACGCTATAAAATTTATTTCAGTGAAATTGTTCAACAACAACAAGAATAACAACTAAAAGAAGTTGGGATGTGCAAATAATTGTGTGTTGTGAAAATAATTTTGACTATGGTTGTACATATGTGGCGTATACCTTAGGCTTATGCAACGGATTCGTTACCATTGATTTCCATATTTTATTTACGATTGCCGTTGTTTTTGTGTGTTATGCTATTGATACCGCTAACAGTTGATTTACACTTTATTTACGCAGCCATTTTTATTTACCCGGTTGCCTTTGATTGTGCCCATCTCTGTCTAACGCCGGCGGTTTGTTTTCTCTTTCCAGCGTGTTGGCTGCGATTTGAAAATCGGCTCGACGAAGAAAATCGACGGGTGCGGCGTGTGCGGCGGCGATGGAAACTCGTGCTCCCAACCGCTATATTACTGGGAGATGGGACCGATGTCGCAGTGTTCAGTCACCTGCGGTGGAGGTAAGTTTCGTCCTGAAGTCCTTGCTACAATAATACACTGAAAAATGTAAAATTTTGATTGAAAATATAAGAAAAGGTATATTATATCTACAATGATATTATTAATTAAAAAATAGTTAGTTATCTATTCTTATTCATTTAATAGTATATTTTTTCCTCAGTGTAGAAACCGACCTGGTATCTTTGCTATCCTTAGTGTAAATAAACAAGTGGAATATGTCAAGAACATTGGAATTGGAGGCCCAAGGAGCTCTTGGCGTGCCAGTCTGTCGTTTGTAATCCCACTCCTGTATTTTTTCTCCCATCTCCGGGGCCAAGAATTCTGTCAAATTTCTTTTCCCAGGCACTGTACGTGTGCGTCACTGCCACTGTATGGGAGTCAGCTATTTGTCGTGCTCATTTATTTTTATTGAATTGGAATTTGTTTCGATTGAATGTTTGCATGGTAATCGAGTGGCAGTAGCTAGTCGCAAATCCCCAACCACATTCCCACACTCGCTTTCCGGATAAAATGGCTGTTGAAAACTATGTTGCCTTTGTTGCTATATACCTGTATATGATTAATAGTCTGGGGGAGACTATATATTTCAAACGAAAGTTTGTCGATTAGACTCAAGTCCTAATCCTTGGGTTAAGTTTTATGTTACGATTCAGGCCATAAATTGGGCTGCCGGGTTACTTTATTCTGGCTGAAAGTTTCCAGGAAAGTCCCGAGTTCCCGCCAAACTATGCAACATGGGCTAATGAAACTTGGTGTTGAAAAGCATATGTTTTGAATATACAGTGTGGTTTCCTAAAGGGTAGAGTTAATTCATCACTGAATCAAGTTTAAGAAAGGTTTGAACTTTATAGCTAAAGGTTTAAGAATATTTAACCCAAAAGTCAAATAACATTCAACCAGAAGAGCCTTAAGCCACTCCTGATTACTTCCATTCCTTTCGATTTTGAGGTGTTCCCATAAATTTTTAATTATTATTTGCTTCGACTCTTTACCCGCCCATTAGCCTGTCAAGGATAACTTGGATCCTGGTGGATTTCCGGGCCAAGAGACGTTTGTTCTTGTACTTTAGAGTGACAATTTCTAGTGCTTCCTTCTGTTTTAATTGCAGTATCGCTTAGGGCGTTGTCTTTAACCCCAGTGACCCACTCAATGCCGGCTCGACCCGCCCAGTCCGTAATTACATTTCAATGTGTTTGTCTATCTGTCTGTCTGCCTGTATTTAGTTTTTAGATGTCAGTTAAATGTCAAGTGCAGTGCAATGCTCTTTGGGGATTCTTTGTGGGTCTGCTCCGACCATTCCACGGCCCAAAATTAATGGTCACCTAAGCGCTGGGTTCCATGTCCGACCCAGACCAGAAACCATTTACTGGTGGGGTTTTTAGAATTGGACATTGAATTGCTTTTACTCATGTCTGTTATTTAGTGGTCCTCTCCTGGGGCATATAATTGCGCACATTTCACGAAATCAATTATGCTTAATTATACACATTTGGCTGGGTATCTTCGCAGTTGTCCAACTGCAGTTCTAATGTACGTGACAGGAGTATTAAGTGGTTGCATCGATTTGGTATTCTTTCACTTTTTTCACTTTAAGGCGAATTAAATCCTTTTTTTTAACACTTGCTTTTAGTTTTGCTTAGTGGATTTTAAGGAGTTTTTTATAGACTAGATAAAGAGAGGAATTTAAATTTCTAGAAAAAGACTCCGGAAATACCATTGAAAATTCGCAAATAAAATTAAAGGCTGGCGCTTCCGTTTCTTGGTAATTTATGAACTGAGCACAAATGAGTGTAAAATCCAAAGTGCAGATGATGAAGATTGCCACGGATTCTTTGGAGCTCTCAGCAGCTCAAAACCAACAACCTGCTGGGCTCTGTCAGCCGAGTAAATCCACTGGGTCCTTGGTATCCTTTTTGTTCGCATCCTGTCTCTGCTGGGATGCCGAGTTCCTCGCCGCCGAAAGAATGCAGGACACAAGAAACGCGGATTGATGCTGCAGATGACTTCTCTTTGGGTTACGACAATTGACATAAATGCCATGAGAGGATATTACCAATTGCCTTAAGCCAATTGTGCCATGAATACCCAGCCGGCGGGCTATGGAGGGCTGAAGGGGAAACACTATCATGATGATTCTGCTTTGGTTTCTACATATAAACATTATACATACTTATGTACTTTCGCTTATAAACGAAATTCAATAGCTGCGAAATCAACGTCACAGCTGCTAACCATGGGAGTATTTATAAGGCAAGGATACCCAGGACGAGGGTTAGATGCTTCTAGCGATTTTTCAAACTGACAGATCGTTATGACGTTATGCATCCGCCGCCTCTGCCCTTGTCCCTTGCCTCCTGACCCTGTTAAACCCACTATCGTCCTCATCCTCCGTTGGCTGCATTCTGCCATCTGCCAATTTCCTGAAAAGCTTTTGGAAGCCTTCCTCCGCCAGCTCTCCCCCATCGGATGTATGCTCGCTTTTTCACAGCTGGTGGCTGACATTCAACCCATTAAATCCGATAAATTGATTTGGCAGTTTCTTTTTCCTTTTTATAGGGATCGCTTAACCTGTGGGACTAAGAAGATTCTTTTAAAGAATACGTATATATAGAATAAGTAAAAAATTACAAAAGCCTTTTGGATTTATTTTTTGAAACATCTCATTATAAATTTTACTGTTTTTACTACAATTATTTTTGTTAATACTTTTGTATAGTTTATAAACTAACCTGTGAAAAATGTAAACCAACTCACTCTTCAAAGCCGATTTCCTTAATGGGTTAAGACGGTAGAAAGACACTTTTTAATGCTGCCACTGTCTCAAGTACCTTAAGTGACATTAAAGTTGCACGAGCAGCCATCCATGCCCCTGGCATCCGCCTGCTACAAATTCCTTGCCCAACAGCTTCTGACTTTTATTGATTTTAAAGTGCAGCAGGAAAAACGACGAAAACAAATACCAAGAAATGAAACAAAAGAAAGACAATTTTGCCATCGTCTGGCAGCTGAATGCGATTTCCAATTTTGCCCTTTACTTACATTCTTTTCTCCATTGTTCTTCTCTTCCCTTCTATTTTTGGCCCGGCTGGCATTTGGCCGCCTTAGGTTACAAAATGTCTCGTCCTATATGCAGGAATCGTCTAACCAATGCCGATGTCGATGATACGCTCTGCAGCCTTACTAATCGCCCGGAGGCGGCCGTGGAGCAATGTAGTACACACAGCTGTCCGCCGCGGTAAGTACTCTCTACTCTCCGCATTCAAGTTAGAGCCTGGATGACAGCCGGCAGCCACCACAGTTCCCTAAGCCACCCTGCGGTCCAACCAAACCAGCATTGAAACCCAAAACCCCAACATAATATATACAGACATACATCCCCCAGGTCCCCATGCCATCACAACAACAGGGAGAGAAATTTCTAAGGCATTAGGCTTAAAAAATTGAACATCTAATAATAATAATAATATAAGTAAAAATTTAATAATAGTAGTGGATAATTTAAAGCTGGAATTTAAAAGAAAATAAAATTACTCATACGACCTGTGGGACGGGGTATTTTTTATAAATATTTGGGTTTGTAAACTTGCTGACTTTAGACGGACTCTTTAAAGAATTACCAGTAACTTAAGTACTAAACTGAATAGTGTACATATTTTCAAGATTTCCCATATTTTTTCTCAGTGAATATTAAGCTTTCGTGTCTCACCTGGCCGGCTATCAATTTAAATGGCGTCGGTTATCGTGCGCACGTTTTGATTGCCATCCCAGGCCCACTATTATCGCTCGGAGTTCGCACGCGGACGTTGTCTCCAGTCGTTTGGGAGGACTGTCGTTTGTCTGGTCCTCTAGCACCAGCCCTCACTCCATTTCCATCTCCCTTGGAAATATTTTTCTTTTTTTTTTGTGTTGCCTACCACACTGATGGCGCACTCACACTTATTTATCGTTTGGTGACATTTTGCAAACCAAACCCAAAACCGAAACCGAAGTGAACCAAAAAGTTTTCGCCAATTTGGCGAATGTCTCCCTGTGATGCCACCACCCAGAATTCTAATCTCCGTTCGTTCTGGTGGTTCCTGTTCTTGTTTTCCGTCCAATCCTCCCACTCCCTCACTGTTCCAGTTTCCGTTCCCTCCACCGATCTTGGTTTATTGCTGTTCGTGGCTTTGTAACTTCGCCTCCAGGCATAGACATCAATTAGGTTTTTGATTTTGTCTGTCTTGAGGTTTCTATTTCCCGGCTCCGAGTTTTTCTTTGTTTGGCCAAAATTTTTGCCCATAGAGGCTCTAGGACTGTGCATTTGGATGATGAATTGAAGAAGGAATGGCCAAATATTGGGTAAATGGTTGTTCATGGAGGTTTGTTTACTTTGTGTGATAGGATAACGAAATCAATAATTCCAATCTAACAAAGAACCATTGTTAGAGTTTACGTAAAGGAGGCTTTTAAAGAAAGTCTAGCAAACAAACATCAAGACTTGAGGCTAATCTCAAAAATCTTCTTAAATGGCTTCTCCAATTACAGACTTTAAAAAGAACAAATAAATTTAATGTTCGTTTTACTTCCAAGCAATTAATTAGCAGACTTCTCTCATTTTATTTAATCGCACCTTCAGCTGCATCTCCCCAGAACAATGCCAGCGATTTACCACAACTGAACTATATAACAGGCAATAACAGCAGGATTCCTTTGTAAACCATGACTTTCAGGAAACATTTCACTCACTCACTCACATTTTCCCACCGAAAGCCGCATGCACTTGAAGGGCGTGCGAATTGGCTTTTCCCCCTGCTTATCCCCTCCACCATGGAAAATAAAACATATATAGTACAGCATAGCTTCTGGCAACTATTTATGGTATTTATTTTCCCCTCGGTCTGTTGCTGCCTGGCTGGCTGCCGGCTAATTCAGCAAGAACGCCCACTGACCACTTGCATTTAATCTTTCTTGCAATCCAAACAGCTGGATAACTGACGATTGGAGCACTTGCAGCCGGCTCTGTGGCCACGGCTACCGGGAGCGGATGGTTGTCTGTGCCGAGGAGTCGAACGCCATCAAAACGAGGGTAAGTACTACAAGACTTTTGGAGTAGCAAACCAACCACAAAAAAAAAAAATAGCACTTTAAGTGTTGCTGATTTTGCATGCGGAAAACGGGGGCCGGACCCAACACATTATTGCCATGTTTTCTCACACTTTCCTCTCACTCTGCTGCTGTCTCCTGTCTCTCTTCCTCCAACAGGTTGCAGATATCATGTGCCGCACACCGAAACCGCCAACACAAGAGACCTGCATTATCGAGGAGTGTCCGCATTGGGAGGTCGAGGACTGGACCGGTGTAAGTACTTTACCACAGCTCCACCCACCGTTTCCCAACCAGTCGTGTAATAATCATGCACTTTCTGTGCTGCAGCCAGAAAAGTAAAAAAAAAAATAAAAAAACAAGAATAAAGTGGGTACCCAGACTGGCAGACAAAGACGTTGCAAGTTGCACGTTGCACGATGCACGTTGACGAGGCCATGTCTGGGCCCTTTGTGTGTGCTTAGCTAAATGTCTGGGTTGCTGCTGCTGAATTGAATGCCCCTGGCAGTGGTCATGGGTATAGTCCCTATACTATCCCTTTTGAGTCCAAAGTCTAGACTCTAGAGGGTCCTAAAAAAATTCAAAGAGGAGTTAGGTCATAAGGTTGTTTTGGAAGTGAAACAAATGAAGAGGTTTTATGTAATATTGGAGTAACTAAACTTAATCTTTAGACCATAATTAGTTTATTCATTATTTTATTCCTTTATAGTTAGAAGGTAAAATAAAGTCTCACTTCTTATAGACTTCTTGTGAAAAATTCAAGAATATTTTTGTAACCAAAACTGAGCATCCCGAATTCGCATACCCTCAGCATGTTAGGTTTTTTATGCATTTCTAGTTACTTTGCTTGGTGGCTCGTAATAAGCTGCTAGCCGCTAGACGGCGTTTGAGACTGCAGTTGCAATAGAGAGGGGGGGGAGAGTCTCACTTTCTCCCCTTTCTACCCAAAATGGTGGTCATACAACTTAATCAACTCGGTGGCAACGTCGTCGACGGCATTTGTGCCTAAGTTCGTCTGGCCGCAATTTCCCGCTCCACCTGAACTCCTTGGCCGACAACACCACTCTGCTTTGGTGGTTGTGCTGTTCATTTAAACTGCAACTTTATTAATGGCCCCCCAGACCCTCGGCATATCACAAATTGTACATGTGGGGGTGGTGTTTGTTTGTGTGGGGACTTAAGACGCCTGCCTGGGGGGTGTCAAGTTTATGTGTTGCTTAATTGAATTGTCTTAAGTTTTTCCGTCTGGCTGTTGCTTAATGTTTTGGGGGTGGCTTAGAAGAGTCTTTTTTAATGTCCAAGATTAGGGTTAATATTAAAGAGCTTTAAGAGTAGGAGGGAAAAAGTTATGAATAAGTTTAATTAATTCTTTCAGACCGTTCTCACGTTCATCGCCGCTTTAAACTTTTACTAAATTATTGAATATAAAGTTTGCCTTTACTCAAAAAAATGTAGCAACTACTTAATGCCAGTTAATTATCTGTTTAATAAACTTTTCAAATATAATAATCCTTAATACCTTAGCCACACTTTTTGTTTGCAAACTTTTTGTACAAAAAGGAAGCAGCAAAAACCTTTCAACAGAATCATCTCCATTTTAAATAAATTCCCATAATGCTTATGAGATGAAATGCAAAATGAAAAAGTGAAAGTCTGGCCAGAGAAAGAGCCTATTAAAAAAGAACGTTAACGTTTATGTCCATTAATAAAATATATGCCACAAAATTAAGCGCCATTAAAGCGGAGACTGAAAGTGCTGGAGTGGGATTTGTGCAAATAAACAATGGCAATGGAGCTGAGGACGTTACACATACGCCCCGTGGCACAGCAAAATGCAAAAAATATGAGAATTCGCATTTGTATGCGTGAGCGCGTACACGCGGGGGTTCAATGTGTGAAAGTGTGTGTGTTTGTCTGTCTGTGTGTGAAAGCTTGTGGAGTCACTGGGGCTTGCCTTTTTTTTTAGCCGCATCACTTGAAACTTTTGCTAAGAAGTGTGCCTCAGTGCCACTGAGTGCCTCAAAGAAACTTTTATACTTTTAACTAATTTAGTGGTTAGCCATTATAATTATTTATTATTCTATATAGAAATTGAATCTCAGAAGATAAAATGTTACTAACCTTTTGTATAGAGTATTTAAACGCCGTCTATTTTGAGTAAAATCTTGGGTATCTTCCCCTTTTATGGTTCATCTATTGTGCAAATAAATGCACTTTTTATTGAATTAATTTATAATGCTTACGGATATTTTAACTCTGCCACTTAGTGCTCGGTTTCCTGCGGCCAGGGAATTCAGATGCGAGGTGTGGAATGCAAATCGACGGATGGCAGCCTGAGTGCCAAGTGTGATCCACTCACCAAGCCCGGCAGCGTTCAACAGTGCTCCACTGGCATCCATTGCGGAGGAGGAGGCGGCTCACAGAGCAAAGCCGGTGGCACCATCATCGTGGGCAGCAGTCGGTCACAGAACGAGGTAGTAGGATATGCAAGTTTTCCTTACCAATTCCAATTTCATCTTAATTTTCCATTCCAGCGGTCCGACCGGCAGATGGACAGCTCTGACATGGATGACGAGGACGAAGACGAGGATATGGACGATGAGGCCGAAGACATTGATGACTTGGAATCGGGTCAGGACACCGATGACGGTGAGGGCGCGTCCTACTCCGATCAGCCATTGCGCTATGCCCATCACACTCAGAGCAGGTTGCACCACGATGACCAGGATGAGCCGCGAACAATGCGTCTCATGGGCGGAAACTCAAACAGTAATTACAATAGGGGAGGAACTGTTGTACCCTCTTTGGATCCCTCGTAAGTAAAAAAAGTGTAACCTGATATTAAATTAAAACAAAAACTCCAGCAGGAGCAACAGCATACGTAAATACCCATTCATCTCCTTTAGTATTTTTTCTTATTTGGGAAAAGGTATGGTGAAAAAAAAAAAAAAAAAAAAAAAAAAAGGATTTTTTTTTTTTTTAGGCTGCTTTGATGCAGATTTGGTAGAGAATCAATGTACAAATCGTTTAAGGTATTCCGCTCAAGAATCGGATGAGTATTGGCAAAGATATAACCATCGATGGGGCCCGAATTGGGCCTACATCCATTTTTGCACTATTTTGAAGGGGACCCCCAGAAAATTTGACAAAAAATCTAAAAAATTATTTGTTCTTAGATTTTGATGCAGATTGGTAGAGAATCAATGTAAAAATCGTTTAAGGTATTCCGCTCAAGAATCGGATGAGTATTGACAAAGATATGACCATCGATGGGGCCCATATTGGGCATACATGCATTTTTGCACTTTTTTGAAGGGGACCCCCAGAAAATTTGACTAAAAATCTTAAAAATTATTTGTTCTTAGATTTTGATGCAGATTAATAGAATATCGATGTACAAATCGTTTAAGGTATTCCGCTCAAGAATCGGATGAGTATTGGCAAAGATATGGTCAACGATGGGGCCCGTATTGGGCCTACATCCATTTTTGCACTTTTTTGAAGGGACCCCCCAGAAAATTTGACAAAAAATCTAAAAAATTATTTGTTCTTAGATTTTTATGCAGATTGATAGAATATCGATGTACAAATCGTTTAAGGCATTCCGCTCAAGAATCGGATGAGTATTGACAAAGATATGGTCAACGATGGGGCCGTATTGGGCCTACATCCATTTTTGCACTTTTTTGAAGGGACCCCCCAGAAAATTTGACAAAAAATCTAAAAAATTATTCGTTCTTAGATTTTGATGCAGATTGATAGAACATCGATGTACAAATCGTTTAAGGTATTCCGCTCAAGAATCGGATGAGTATTGACAAAGATATGGTCAACGATGGGGCCGTATTGGGCCTACATCCATTTTTGCACTTTTTTGAAGGGACCCCCCAGAAAATTTGACAAAAAATCTAAAAAATTATTCGTTCTTAGATTTTGATGCAGATTGATAGAACATCGATGTACAAATCGTTTAAGGTATTCCGCTCGAGAATCCAATGATTATTGGAATTTATATGGTCATCGATGAGGGCCCATATGCAGTAGCCCATATGTGTCCTCCATGGTTGTCTTTTTTTCCGAGTATCATATGAGTAAAAAAGTGTCCTTGTAGGCTTCCACTTTTAGCTATAATTAGGGTGTCCTTCAACTTTTGTGTCCAAGATACTTTTTTTTGTCCTGCATAAGGTATTAGGGGAAAATCCCAAATAGCTTGTCGTATATTTCAATAATTATTGTCGGAGCCTAATTGATGTCACGCCTCGGTGTAGATAGCCGTGTCCCCTGAGACTTGAGACACGAGGCTTTCCCTATCTTGATGATAGGCTGGTACATCTCCTCCGACTCCGACATATTCAACTTTTCCCCGGCTTATCTTGGCCCAAAGCCGGTACTTGACATATTTCAACTTTGGTGAGACGGCGTGCCACTCCACTTGACTTGGCTCGAGTACTTGGCCAACACATCACTAACGCCACTAACACCACTAGCACCACACTCTGTGACTCATCATAATGTCCTTGAGCGGTGTCGACACCTAAAATTAAGGCTATTAGACAAACGCACACTCACATCCTATGAGCAGGATACCCAAGTATCGACTTGGAGTTGGAGTAGATTGTAAGTACAGTGAAGTACGCCTAATGACAATTAAAGTGGTGCTTTGACGTGTCCACTTCATTGTTATTGGAAAACGATAAACAACGCAAAAAAAGTTCCCCCGATAAGCTGTCCCTTGGTATACACACTTTAATTAGCCAGCGACCTCGCGAAACAAACGAAATGAATCTAAATGAAATCATTAGAGCAGAGTGGCCAAATCCAAGGGCTTTTATCGGATAATTGGTGCATGGGGAATACTTACACCAAATAATAAATTACGGCCCAATCCACTTGACCAAAGAGGAAATTGGTAGCTGGACAATGTTAGGCATTTCCTTACATCGTGTATTTAAAGATCCTTGATATTAAGTGGGCATGGAAGTAAAGCTAATCCCATAATCGTAAAATACACAGGAAGTCATTTAGGTATTTGTTTTGTAATTTGAGAGAAATACTAATAGGCCTTAAAAGAATAAGATTTGTTTTGAATAAATCTAGAGTTCTAACTTAAAATTAAGCAATAACTTTTCGGCAATTCTTCGAGCAATGACCTAAGCCTAAGGAGAAAAAAAGAATAAAGGCTTCAACAACTTACATATATTACAGACTTAATGGTCCTTAGACTGAATACCAACAAACTGCCTCCTTTTTTTTATTTCTCTAAAATGGCATCCAAGTTATCTTTTCTTGACATTTTTCTCTCGATGGCTCTGTTGTTGGCCGATGCCCACTAAACTGAAACTATTCGAGCCTGGCGCTGCCATAAAGTCGCGCCTTGACGCCGCCACCAAAACCTTGGCCTCCGATGCCGATGCGGCAACAATATACTAGTAAAGGCCATGTTAAGAGAGATTGGCAAATGGCAGTGCGCCAGCCATACAGCCAGGCACACAATACACATAACAAAGAAAACAAGTAATAATAAAGGAGAGGAGATACTGGACAAGCCAACAACTTCCGAGGGAGGAGAGTAAACAAAGTTGTGAACACGCGCCTGGCCTACGCGGCGAATGAGCAACGCTACGCAACGCACTGGTTATGAAATCAGCTGCCGAACTAAAAGCCAGCGAAATGTGCTGACCTACTTTGGGAGCCGGGCTAAGATGTTTGCGGCCATTTGGCGCCGCTTTAATGCCACTCTCACATCTACGATTTGACTACAAATCAATAAAGAGTAGAATTGGCCTGGCCAGCAGCCGCGTTCTGGCTATGGCCTCCACTACACTTCAGTGGACTGTCAACCCGCGCCATAAAAGCCACTTCAGGCCACAAAACAATGACTGGGCGTTAAATTCTCCTAATATAGCTACACAGAAACAAATGGGATAGTATTTTAAATAATATATAGAATATGATTATAGCAAAGAAAATGATTTAATTGCATTGAAAAAAAGGAATGTTGAACTAAAGGAGAGATTATATTTTTGGAATTTATTTGTCAGTCCTTTACAACCCCTTCATTTTTTTGTCGGTGTCCGAGTTTGTAGGCCATGAGAGGACATTTACTCCAGTGACCACCAACGTTTCATTCGCATAGCATACTTTTTTGCGCTGGACACCCGTTGGAGAAGGTCGCGGAGGGGAGGGCTCAATAAATGTGTGTCCTGGCATCGAATGAAATGCAATGTGTAAAACGTGGTAAGCTCTATTGTTGCATAGAATTTGTTTAGCTCTTTGTGAAGGGAAGAGGGGTTGTGTGAACTCGAGTGCAGGGCCATGGGTTTTGCATTGGCACACGTTTTAGTTGATTCGATTTCGTGTGTGTGCTAGGTTGTGTGTGCTAGGATGTGTGCAAAGGCACGGTTCTTTGTTTGTCCTTTGATGAGTGCTGGACATGTGAATGCTTCGGTTGTCAGGCGTAAAATTTGATAAATGTTTTTCTAGCCAAATGGAAGTACTCTCTTATCAAGGCAGCTTGGTTTCCAAAGGATATTATTTTTTCTTCAAAATGGAAATATATTTTGTACCGAAAGCCTTTCTTTCTGATATTTAATATCTCTAGTAACTCTTACTGTTTCATTTTATTCGTAGTTACATCAAGGACACGGAGTGGTCGCCTTGCAGTGTCACCTGCGGCGAGGGCATTCGCCGACGAGTCTACAAGTGTAAGATATACCTGGAGTACTCCCGAACGGTGGCCACCGTGAATGACAGCCTTTGCGAGGGAACCAAGCCCCACGACGACGTGGAGCGCTGCGAGGAGGATCCCTGTGTGTTGCCCTCCCACGGTTTCGATGACCAGTACCCCCGGGACTCCATCAAGGTGGGGGTCTCAGAGCCGGGAAAGACATACGTATGGCGAGAGCAGGGCTACACCTCATGCAGTGCCTCCTGCCTGGGCGGCGTGGAGGAGCTGATCATCAACTGCGTGCGAGAGGACAATGGTAGAGTAGTCTCGCCCTTCCTCTGTGCCCCGGAGTCCAAGCCGGAGGCCAGAGTTCGCACCTGCAACGACCGTCCCTGCCCGCCTAGGTGGAACTACTCCGACTACACTCCCTGCTCCAAGAGCTGCGGCATCGGCATCAAGACCCGAGAGGTACAGTGCATCCACGAGGTGACCCGCGGTGGTGAAAATACCATGGTAGTGCCCAACAGCATGTGCCCGCAGCCTCCGCCCCCCGACCGGCAGTACTGCAATGTTCTGGACTGTCCCGTGCGTTGGGAGGTGGGTGAGTGGTCCAAGTGCTCGCACACCTGTGGCTATGGCTTTAAGGACCGCAAGGTCGAGTGCAAACAGATCATGGCCCAGGAGCACAAGATTGAGAGGCCGGAATCAATGTGTCCCAGTGCCAAGCCGACGGACAAAAAGCCCTGCAACGTGAAACCTTGCCCACCAGAGGATCCCAAGCCCGTTATCCAAATCAACAACTCCACGCATATTCAACACGACCCTAAGAAGACTAAAATCACCCTTAAAGTTGGCGGGGCCGGTATCGTCTTCTTTGGCACCCAAGTGAAGATCAAGTGCCCAGTGAAGCGATACAATCGCACCAAAATTAAGTGGAGCAAGGACCACAAGCCTCTGCAACGTTCCCGCAAGTTCAAGGTGTCCAAGAAGGGTGCCCTGCGCATTCTTGACATCACGTTCCGCGACGCCGGAGTATACTCCTGTCACGCCGGACTCAGTTCGGCTGAGATTGCTATCGAGGTGAAGGCCAAGCCAGGCCAGCAGGCCGAGGACTTGGAGCGGCAGGAAGCAGGTGGGTAATCAGTCGGGAGTGCTCCTAACGAGCCTGCTTGTCTAACCAAAGTTTCTTTAATACTCGTCTCCTCCTCAGATCGCTTGGTGCGTGAACGAAGTGGCACGGAAGCACTCACCTCCGCGGACATGACCTCGGCGGGAGGGCCAGGAGCTGTGGCTGGAACCGATTGGCCCGCTAATGGGTAAGTAACCGGCTTTCGACTGTGTGACCTTTGAGTAAAAGTTTGAAACAGGACCAGGTTCGGCGGGTTGCGTATGAGGAGGTGGGTCCAGTTTTGCTATCTTTATCGGGCTAAGTGCGTTCTAGGCTAGAATCTACATTGTTTGGTAGATTTTCAACATGTACACCATAGTGGCCCAGAAATATTAAAGTAATTGGATTTGAAGTCCTTACCGTTACATGGGCTGGGCTGTAAAAAGAAAGAACATCTAGAGACTTCCTTATTTATCCTTTGCTTGAAGCAATTGGCCATTTTTTCTTGGCCATTTTGCATTTTTTCCTAGACTACAGCAGGCACTTTAGCCACGTCCTTGATCTAAACTAATCTCCGACTCAACTCTCCGTTGGCAGTCGTTTATTGTGGACAGCCCTTGCAGTTTGCAAGCCCCATTTTCAGTGCAGTTATTACAGTTTTGCTTTTTCTTAAACCACTGGAGTCTGGTTCTATACCTTTAATATGGCTAGAGTAAAATCTTCAAAAAGTATATCACTGAAAAAATAATATATTATTTTTATAAGAAGCCAAGAAGAGTCTTCTTCAAGAATAAAAATCATACAGTCCAGGTACCAGGTATCATATAGTCGGAATCTGATTATTTCTGCTTTGAAATAGCCTTCCTTGTATACAATATTCACGCCTCGAGTGCCACAGTTAAGAGTTAACCGCTTAGTGCTTAGTGCCTGTGCAGCCACTTGTACTTTCCTCCCGACTTGTCTTTATCAAGAGCTGTCCTTTCCGTTCGACTCATTGCAGTCGTCTTTTTCCTTTTCTGGTCCCGCACCTTACTTCCACGCCTACGCGGCGTATGCGTGTTATCGTCATTTCGCGCTGTCGGAGTGTTACATCCGGCCCACCTTTCCTGAGCGTCCCTGTGTTTGTATTTGCTCATCCTTTGCATTAAAGTTTTATGCGCTTAAACACAAAATAACAAAAAAAAAAGGTGCCGGGAAAGCGCAAGTTAAGAAAACAAAACAAGCTCTAAGTAAATTTCATGGATACTTACTTTACTCACCGTTTGTTATATCCACCCACACTCAGGGCGTAACCGCTAAGAAAAGTTTGCCATGACAGTTTATGTTCACTGAACATTTTCTGAAGGATACAAGGATGTGCACAGTTCTTTCTGGGCCAATTAAGAGCATTCAGCATTCGATTACCCTTGCTGCCAGCCAGACTCTATTTATTTTGAGAGTTGAGAGCCCTTAAATGTTACCTGGCTGGCTAACTTGAATGCCGCGTACCTTTCTGTAAAGCTCTAGAACGTTTAAGTCTATTGAGCACCTGCCCCCATACAAATGCAGCCAACAAAATCCTCCCCCGAAACCCTTGTGCCGCAACCCCACCCCTGCCACAACAAACCCCGTTTTCCCAAAAATTGCATATTCAGGCAGACGTGTGTGCGGTTTATTTCGCAATTTAGGTTACGTGTTTGGGTTGTGACTAGGAGCTTAACATGCCAAAAATTACAGAGATACCAGCATATATAGATGTGCTAAATATATGTATACACAAATGTGTGTGTAAGGACAATTGCATATGTTTGCGATCGCGTTGCCACACTCCGCCTGCTTAACGCAAATGGTTAAAAGCAAACAGCCAACAGCAAAATGCATTTTGGCAAAGCCACAAGCTCTTCAACCAACTTTCCCGCTTTTCCTGTTTTACCGCCCCTCGGAAAACACACACGAATATGCGGCGATATTTTTGGTTTTCAAATGCATCATCAGTGATGTCGTTGGTCACGCAAAGTGTAACACAACTTTTGGCAAAAACAAAATACCAAAAATTTAACTCAAAGCTGGTGGATTGAGGAGCTTTTCTATTTTTGTTTATTCCATATTTCAATGTGGTCCATCATACTTTTTTAATTGCCTAAAAATCAAAGAAGAATTCTGTCAGTGGCTTCCAAAACACCAATGCTAATATTCGTATAGGACGGAGGATATTCAAAAATGAGAGGATTTGTGGCTTTGACAGGTAGAGATATTAAATATTTTGCAAAGTTTTATTTATGGCACATCAACGCAAAAATAAATCTTTCGTTTTAAAGAGTAGCTAATATTTTTATACATTCATAAATTTTGCAGACAGTTTATTTAAAATTATTTGACAGGTTACTCATAAATAATAATTTAGAAAAAGAGTAACCTAAATTTGCTAGACTTAAAGCCCTAAGGCTTTATCAAAGAAAATTTGCAATGATTAGGAATAATTGTATTAAAGCCAGATTTAATAGCTTTTGTTAAATTGTACCTTAATTTTATCAATATATTTTGCCACAGCTAAATCCATTTAAAGTTTCCTTGAAAAGCTTTCACCTTTTAAACTGATTTGGTTCGGTCAACTACCGACGGGCTGCCAATGAGGTTGCAATATGCATGACCAGGCTCGAAAAGCGATTTCATATTGCAGTTGGTTCAAAGGCTCGACAAACTGGCCAACAGCCCTCCCCACTCAAAGTGTGCAAGAATGTAACACGCTCACAAAACCAGAATTTGTTATGGCCAAAGGTGGCGTTCGTTCCGAAAAGGGCATCTCAGAAATGCCACTCGACTTGCCAGTGCGAAAGCCTGGGGATCTGCACTTGACATTTTTGCCAGGAGCGGAACCGAACAGGCTTTCTGTTGCTGGCCAGGACCAGGACCAGGCCTAGCCTTAGATGTTTGTTTTTAATGTTTTCCTCCCACACACATCCACCAACCATGTATGTATATTTTTCTTTGCAATTTTTGCAGGTCTACGAATCAGCAGCAGGGCACCCGTCGCCGGCAGCAGTCGGAGCGTTTGCAGAACGGCAGGGAGCGGGAGCGTAGCCGGAGACCCAAGTCGGACGGAGTCCAGCATGCGGACAGCAGCATTATGGAGGACGATGTGAGTAGTTTGGGGCACGGTTATGATTGTTTCACTCGATCAACGTCATTCCGGGCTTTACATTTTAAATATGCTCCGGAAACGTGCGAATGTCTTGGTCCGATGTTGTCCTTTCGCAGTTTACACAATTCCGTTGTGTATTAGATTTGTGGTTTCCGTTGCTCCCTTTGGATATAGTACTATATATACACACTCTTTTTATATAGGAGCTGCTCTCCTTGCTGTGTCAACATCTACGTAATTTGATAGTTTTCCACATGGCTTTCCCTATTTCTTTCGGGTTGCTCCATATCAGCAGAATAAATATCTGTGCAAACAGTTGGCAGTTTAGATTTGTATCCAGCCCTCTCACTCACTCACTCACTCACCACTAGCCCTGTCTCTGTCCACTGGCCAAACATATAATGTGCCTTGGAATGAAATTACGTATACGTAGCGTTGGCCGAGAGAGGAGCAGAGCTAAGCCGAATGGAGTAGAGTGGAAATAAACCAACAAGAATTTACAATTCCTTTCCCTTCGAAAACAACAATAGATGAGGCATATACACAGGCTGGTCGAATGTCTGCCATTGTCCTTGGCTTAGGCTGGGGATGTAATAAGGACACGAATCCTCCACATCGGTTGCCCGGGGCCAACACTACCTGGCCAAATTGTTGTTTGCCTTGCAAACGATTCTGGGTGTTGTGTTTCTTTTTTCATCTTCCCTTTTTTTTTTTGGGTCAAACCCATTGCGGTTGGCCCGAAGTCTAGTTGAAAATTGGCAGGCCAAAAATTAGCGTAAATGCCTTGATTGAGTTTGTTCGAAATGGAAAAAGAAATTGTGTGTTTCCAAAGAGGAAAAAAAGGGATTTTTTTATACAAGAATTGGAATCTAAAGTAGACTATTTGAAAGCTCGTTAAAATACTTTTTAATTAGATATTCAAATTAAAATCCCATCTCATACTCTTTAGTGCCATGCATCACACTCATATCTACATCGGAATAACCATAACTTTAAGCCCAAACATATTGCTAATAAATAACGTCACACTTAATAACTATTTTCCCTCATATTTCTTCTGCAATCCGCCATTTGCGTTCGCGTCTGTATTTGTGAAATATCCTGCCATCCTGTGTCTGTGTGTGTATCTCCAGCATTCGCAATTAGTGCAATCGCAGGACAGAATCCCACAGCCAGCGAGCGCCAGCAGCGGCAGCAGTCGCACCAGAGCTCTCCTGGCGATGCCATATTTCCAGGCACTGCTCAGCAATCTCCAGGTGAGAAGCATCCTTTTCGCATCCTTCGGTACTCGTTCGATTTCATCCTTTTCGTTCTGCATTTGCTGTGTTGCCGATTTTTTATTGTTCCTTCATAGCAAAACATACATTCTGTTTGCAATTGTTATTATTATTTTTTTTGGTTTCAATTTATTCATTTCTTACTTTGTTGGCCTCGCCGGAAACAAAAAAAATATGTATTGCCCGTACTACGATTCACTGATTTCAATCCTTTTCGGTTTCGGTTTGTTTTATTTTCATTAATTCTCCTGGAGGTACTCGTACCATTCACGAACTTTGCGTTGCATGCGTGTAATTAGTGCACTTCAAATGGGCGGATGGGGGGGCGTGTGCGTTGCAAATTGCCAAAGTGCTGCATATAAATTGCACAACGTGTGCATATTTGTCTTCGGTCTGATTGGGCCTCTTGCAATTTGTCAAACGGCACGGCAAGAGCCGCCTTGTTTCGAGACTTCTTCGGCTTAGTTGTTTCTATTTGGTTTCAGGCATGTCTCCTTGTTTAATTTGATTGTTTTGTTTGCGGTGGCCTAGCTTGAGTTTGTTGGCATATAATTCGTTTAATAGTATTAGAGCTTTCAGTTTCAGCAATCAAAATATTTATACTTTATTATTGCATGATGATACCACTTTCTTCCACTATTGACATTGATTTACCAACACAATCTATGTCTTCTTTTCAAATAATTTTCGTTTTTGGGGTCCCATATGTTTATCCCTACAACACCAAACAACATAACCAAACAAAATACCGAAACGAGCTACAATTTTCAACTCAAATATACGCAAATGTTACAATTTCAACGTAGGTAAAACTTTTCAATAAATATTACACAATATACCTCCATCTCCTCCATTATATGTTAAACACTTTTCACTTATGTACCTCTCGGCAGGCAAAGATAAAATGCGTAACAAGTTTTCCCGATGCCTTCACAGTCTCAGCCCCCCAGGGCACCGAAAATAATGATAAAACCGAATATTTAATTAAAAATATTGCATTAAAAATTGGCCTTATTTCCGAACCTTATAGCCGCTGTCGGGTAACTTTTTATGCGCCTGCCGTCAAAGACATTTTCTGCTGCATTTTGTGCATTGTGAAATGAGCAAACAATTGGCATAATGGGTAAAAAGAAGCTTCAGTTCAGCCCCCTCCAACTTTACAAACTGGAGGCATACTTCCAAAAAAAATAAAGCTGCATGCTGCCAAGTGAAAAGCTGGAAAATTGGCAGAGAACGCACAAAGCAAATATTTTTTGCAAACAAAAATATGAGCATCAAAATTTTGCCTGCTTCTATTTGCAACTTTTTTGTATCAGCTTGGCATGATATACACTTTTTAAATTATTCATAAAAAAATACATATTGTTGCTATTAATTGGGCTGTGAAAATAAACAATTTAGCAGGATTGTGTACCAAATTACTAAAACATTGACCTACATTTCTATGAACTGGTTTTCTTTATGCGGCAATTAACTTATGCAAATACTTTAAATAATTCTACAGCAAAAACCCAACCAAACAAAACATTAATTTTATAATTAAATCACACTTTTGCAAACATTTAATTATACTTGCAAATAAACACTTTTAATTCTGTGGAGTTTTTACTGATTTGTTTTGAAAAGGGTCTTAAAATCCTTGACACATAAATACATAGATCTGATTATTTATTTAAAACTATTATCGGGGACTATACCCTCGGGTTTTAAGCCTTTCTGTTGGAATATGTTTTGTTTAATTGTACAATGTTATTCACAACTTAGATCAACGCATATATTAGTTGATATCATTTATCATTATTGCTTCCATGCATGATAGCAACTCATTTTGTAAAATTAATCCTTAATACTTGTATACAATTTCTAAAATATTGGTTACTAATTAATAGCAGGATTAGTGCTGTTTTGATAATATTCGATGTGCCGGCTGGGTAAGTGCCGTGCTCGCCGTCAAAGTTTCCCGCTTTACTTTCATACATATATTAAAATTTTTATGCGAAAAAAACAAATTCCAACAATTTGTTTTTTCCATTTACCTAATTTATTAATTGAAAAGTTTTCTCCGGTACTCACTAACTTTGCCTATCTCACTTTTCACCACATAAAAGTTATGTAAATAATGGCAAACAACCAAATTTGGCTCGGGAAATAAACTTTCAGTCAACGTCATAGCCGCCTTTTCACCTGACGACAGACATTTTCCGCGGATATATGTACTCGTGTGTTTCTGGCAGACTTTTACAGGGGATGGGGTGGTTTTTTAGCCAAAATTTATAATGCAATAGAAAATAAATTAAGCCATTGAGACAGGCAGACTGATAGAGAACATGGAAAAAGTTAGGTCCTTTCAAAGAGTTTTTGCGAAAAAGGGTAATCTACATCAAATTAAAGACTTGGCAGGGAATATAATATTTTAGGTTATAAGAGTAATATTAGAGCGTAGATATCAGGTAATTATACGCCAAGGTGGCGTATACGTGATCTATAAATTGCAGGACTTATAGCTTCGTTTTGGTTTTAATGTCCAACCCATCATCCCTTTTGGAGAAAATTATACTACCCCATAATAAAACTCAGCCGTATAAATACTCTCTCTGTTCATTGTGTTCATGTAATTCTGGGACACTTCATCCGGCAAACAAATCCTTTAAAAATGCAAAAAAAAATAAAATAGGGAGTTGTACAATTTTCTAAAAAAAAAATAATATTACCACACAAACCGACTGAAAGTTTAGTTTGCTGGTAAAGTTGAGTAGACGTTCGCATCGCCGTATGCAGATTAGGCAAAAATAATTTATGGTGCCCAGCCAGGCGAGTGGCAGGATCCAGATCCTGCAGACTGCTGGTCCAAAACCAAACGGAACCGGCAACTTTATGTGCAGTTGTACGGATGTTGCGGGGATTTTGGGGCTTTTGTCTCTCTCTATCTCTATTTTTTTTAGGGGGGGCTTAACGGCGACACTTTCAAGCGGCATTTATCAAAGCTAGTTACCGGAAAATTGTATCTGCATACATATATTTGCAGACTGATAGAAATCAAGAAAATAGACAAAGCGATTATAACTAATTTTGTGACAATTTACGTTCCAAATTTCAGTGGTGAACCGCTAAAAATATGCACTGGTTTCAACAAACACCCACAAGCGAGTATGCCATTTGTCAAATCCAGCTATTTATATGCAATTTATAATTGTATACGGGTGACAATAAAACCATTTGGGTTGAAAGTTTGCGGCGCATTGATTAACTCTTTGTGGCCTCCTCGGTCTCTTTCGTTTTTCGCATCGCTTCTCATAATAATAATTTATTATAATTGTTAAAACTTTAACATATTTGCATTTAATTCTCTGCCTGCAAAACTTTATTAAATTTGAACCTTATGAATGTGGCAATTGTTTTCAGTTGCAATTTCAGAAATGCAAACTGAAAAGTTGGCCAGCAGTTTAATTGAAATATTTATGAGCTAATAACTTGATTGACTGTCGAGTAATAAGCTAATAAGTACATAATTCAAAGTTTGTGGCAAGGCTTAGGAAAATTATTGTATTTTCTGACTAATTAAAAAGCTGTAAAGAAGGCTTTAATTTAAGTCCATCACTCTTTTAAGCACTTTATCTGAATACCAACTGAATTGACCATGTCATTCACTTTCGTTCGAAAGAGTTTTCCATTTTAATGGCCCATAAACGTCAATTTTATTCAATAATTTTCTGTCTTTTATAGACCGGGCATCCGTTTTTCCATGCCATTCTGTGAATGCCAATTCCTGGCCATTTCCAGTTTAATTGCATTGTTGCCAGTGGAATTTAGATTCACATTCAGTCACATTCAGCCAGCAGCTCATTAACAGATGTGTTTATAATGCCCAGACTCTGCCATTTTGAAGCTGCCACCTGAATGATTTTATTGATTAGCTTTTGGAATACAAATTATTGCCTTGGAATTCTCATTAGCATATCATAACCATCCTTCGGGTTAGCTCATCTCAGTATTGTATGCCTGACTTGGTCCTGGGCATTCCTAATTAGCTAAGTAAGTGCAGGCTGGCCTCGTCCTTTGTCGGCCACAATTTATGACCCGACATTTGGCCTATTAATTATATTACGCTAACACCCCGCCAAGCCCCACTTGAATCCCCATTTTTTAGTGTGTTCCACGGAAACATCAAATTTGGTGGGATTTGGCTTGGATTTGGTTTGAATTTGTTTGGCCCCAGACGCGCCAAAGCGCGTTAATAAATTTCCCCAGGACCTGGAGTCTGGGTGCATCCTGGGCCCTGGCCTCGCCCCCTTTTCGTTACCACATATTCGTCATGTCGGACGTAAATGATTTAAAACAAGCGAAACGGGCTAGCATTTGCTGGCTTTTAATTTTGATTGCAACTATTTATTAATGGCAAACTGAGAGGCGGCAGGATGCAGGGAGAAGGCAGCAGGATGCAGGATTCAGATGCCGTTGCCGTTGCAGATGCCTCGGAGGCATTTTATCCTCGCTCCACTTAAACTCCATGCCATATTCTGCATTTTCGCTGCATTTGTTTCATTTCCCGCCCAGGCTGCTCTTATTTTTATTTATTTGCAAGTGCCGCATATAACGCATTGCATTTAAAACTTAAATTAAATGAAATGACATACATTTCAGCTTGCTGCTATTTGGTTTGGAATGGGTTGTCGGTTTGGTTTGCGATGGTTCTCGGTTCGGTTTGGTTAGGGTCTGTCTCCGGCAGGACTGAGTTTCCGCCTGTCAGGCGTGAGAATTTAACGATGTGCCCGGCTTTGTGAATCGACTAAAGTTGCTAATGAGTCTGTGATGAACATGTATTGAATGCAGTTGAGTCTGTCGAAATGGGGATGAAACTTTAGTTTAATTAACAAGATAAGTCAGAGTTGGTATAAGCCATCCCACAACTTTTTCATCTTTAAGAAAGATATTCCCATAATAAACATAGCTAGAGATACCGGAAATAGGGTTCTCTTTGACCAAGCTTATTCCAATTACATGCTGGCACCAACATACATTACTGAAATTAGCACAACAACATTCTAATCCAATCGACTACGAACCCATGCCGTATAATGAACCTAAATGCCTACATATGTCGGGGTGGCATGCCCCTGATCCGTAAAGACTTCTGTTTACGCAGCAAGTGGAAAATGTGGCCGTAAATGTATCGGGAGTAAACTTCCGGGCCAGCAACAAACCAAATTCCCATTAAATTTTGAAACAATAATCTGTGAACTTTGTTCTGCCGAAAATGAGAGCAAGAACTTTGGGCTAATTACAGTTGCAAAGGCGGAATGCATTGAAGAGGACCGGGGATGTTCTCCCCCTACCGATGTCCTGGTGCTTTTTGGCCAAAATGCTGCAATATTGACAAGAGCCAAGCTAAAAGGGGGGAACGATTCCGATTCCGATTGCGGTGACAACAATAAAAGGCATTGGGGGCGTTGTCTGTGGAGGCGTCATTGTCATTGTCGCTCGGCTCTCGTTCTTCCTCTCGCCTCTTGTTGGCCAACAAATGAGAATCAGGGAGGTAGGGAGGGGAAAGGAGGTTGCACATAAAAGCGCAGCAGATTCTGCCAACAACAATGGAAACCCAAAACAACAACAGAAACTATGCAAGCGCATTTGTCGGTTTCAAGTGGCACTTGGGAAATCATCTTTGTGTGCCTCCGACTCGGTCCCCTTCTCCATCCCCTTCCCAGCCTCCCGGCCCAATCTTGCCACATGCCCCCCCTCCCCACTCCCCAATCGTTGCAGGAGCCAAAAACAAATCTACTGCGGCATCGGCTCTGGGCAGCTGTAAATGCAAACGACCAGAGAAATGACGTTGACGTTGCCAAGACCATGGTGTTTGACAATAAGTTCCCAGGCTGGGGTGGTGGCTGACCCAGGCCAGAGGACAATTTTTGGATTATAGGTCGTAGATATTCCCATACACGAAGTTATGAGACTCTACAATATTCCAAAGCTTAAATTAACAATGCCAGAGATTCAAAGATTATTTGCACCATATGTCGGTTGCAAAATGGAGAGAATTTCTAAGGAAAATTTCTCTGATATTTTGCTTAAATACCCATGATGTAGTCTCGGCATAGTCTGTAGGTTTCTGGTCTTAAAATTTCTATAATTTTTATTTCGATGCTCTGGCAAACTAATCTCAGAATGGTCGCTCAAAACAAGATGTCTGGTCGAAAGAGAATTTTTTCGGGCCGAAATTCCAACGGCTGCATATTTGGTAGTCAAATTTTGGGAGTCGCCGAAAAGGGGAAATTAGGAAGCGGATATCGGGTTGCGGTAGGATAGGAGCTGGGTTACGTCGAGGCCGCAGGTTCCATGACTAATCGGATTTCGCAGTTTCGTAGTCAGTCAACGTGAAGCAATTGATGAGGGTAATTCAAGTGTGCATGCATGAAACATCCCACCTATCCCACCTCATTTCGCCACCCATTGGCACACATATACCTCCATTCATACAAACACATACAGGGCAGCAGATCGATGGTCGTTACGAAAGCGGAAACGGAAACGCGACGGCCGTTGAGCAGCAAACTTTAGCCTGGCATATCGAACAACAAACAGCAACTCCTGACTATTTTTAGAGGGGGAGTTCGAATGCGATTTGAATCCAACGGCAAAGTTAACCCTTCTTTCGCCCATTCAGTTCCTCTGGCCGCTGCAGCGCTTCAAGGACTCGAAGGGCCAACACATGCTCCACGAAGAGGCTCTCAAGTACGGCATGGATCTGGAGCCCAAGCACTACGAACAAGACGAGCCGATGGCTGCCCGGACCAAAGAGCTCCACACCGAAGCGGGCCCTCTACGGGCGGACACCGACTCAGAATCGAAAGGACACGCTGAAGACATCCCACCACACATGCCACACGCTCGGTGGGAAACAGCAGCAGTAGCCACGACAACGTCGGTTCCCAGTTTGGAGAGCGATGGATTCATCTACAAATGGCAGCTGGGTGAATGGTCCAAGTGCTCTCAGGAATGCGGAGCAGCTGGCAGTGGTTTGCAGGTGAGTAAAGTGCAAGTTGCAGGAAGGATATGCTCTGATTAATAGGAAACGATTAGGCGCATATATGTATTCTATAGAAAGTTTATTGGTTGCTGGCAGAAAAAGCATATAGACGAAAAAAATCATTGCCAATTTGGTTAGATTTCAAAGCATATTTTGTACAAAAGTGTATAAAAAAGACTAATCTTTACTTAAGTAGTTTCACTTCACAAGTTACTGAAAAAGGATGTCTCTCAGCACCCACTTATTCCTTTCCAGTTTCTGGTATATTAAATATTTACTCCTAGCCAATTTTGGGATTCAAAATCTTTGGTTCTTGCATTCCCAAAGCAGAGAAAGCGCCATTAAATAGAAAGAGAAATGTGACCCAAGGCGGAAGGCGACATTTATGCAATAATTAGCCAAATGCACAGGCCTCTGAGCTTTCTTTTTGTCCTGCCACAGTGGCTCCATAAAATCAGGAACACGTTTAAATATTTTAACAGTCAAAGGCGCCGCTCCTCAGACTTAATGCCGCTTATTTTATGTTTCGTTGGGAAAAAACAAAGGAAATTTCATTTCGCCTTCTTTTTTGTTCCCCAGCGGCGTTCGTTGAGCTGCCATCGAGAGGCAAAGTCCAAAGGTTCCAGTAGCGCCACCAACTCCAGTAGCAACAGTAGCACCGGATTGGATGTCGTGGATAATTCAGAGTGCACCGCCCACGGCCTGGAGATGCCCGACACGTTCCAGAGCTGCGGCAACGAGGCCTGCCCGCAGTGGACCAAGGGCGAGTGGTCGCTGTGCCACCAGTCCCGCTGCCACGGCAGGAACACGGCCGTGCAACGCCGCGAGGTGGCATGTCGCTACGAGAATGGGACGGCGGGCAGTGCCTGCGATGAGTACGAGAAGCCTCCGATGCGACAGGACTGCTACAACGAGCGCTGCAAGGGCGTGTGGCGTGTGGAGCCCTGGTCCGAGGTTGGTGTCCCCGTGGGCTCGTATTCTGTGCTTCGTGCTGAATATTAATCTGTTCCTTTTTTCCTTTTCCAGTGCAATGCTCCGTGTGGCCGCCAGGGCATCAAGTATCGCATCCTACAGTGCGTCTGGTACGGCAGCCGACGTCCGGCGGGCAACGTTTGCAAGCACCAGCCACGTCCGGCGGTCATGAAGGTCTGCAAGAGTCCGCCCTGCCAGGCCAAGTGTGAGTTGTAGTCTTTCGATTAGTCCTGCAAAATGTCCTTAAAACTATAACGATTTTCTATATTTTAGTGTCAGCATCTTCGGCTTCCTCGCAACACTGTCGCGACTCATCGCGCTATTGCCGGAATGCCCGGGCCATGGGCTTGTGTCGCCTGCATCGCTACAAGGAGAAGTGCTGCGGTTCCTGCCAGCAGCAGCCCAATCAATATATATTCCATTAGCTCCGCTGCCGGCTGCCAACTGAGCGAGCAATTTACGAATTCTGCAAGCAATTACTCTAAGTACCGTAAATCTAAATAACTATAGCAAGATATAAAGTTAAACTTATCCATATGTACGTTTACCAGCTACTATCCCTACTACATAAACACGATACCAGTTTGATTTTGTATTGAATCGAGAGGAAATTTAGTTAGACTTAAACACATACTATATCCAATTCAAAATTTGTTGAACAAAAATATTTAATTTATTTAAAGTCCCCTAAAAGTAACAAACCTGAACAGTGTAACATGGCATTTGCAACTAAAGATAAGCATAAATAATGTTAGATTTGCCTTTGGCAGGTTCCCTCAAACAAATCATTTGCGAAAAGGCAAAAGATTTGATTGAGGGAGCAGGTCAGTGGCACAAGCTTTGCTTTAAGCAATTAAAAAATTATAATATTAACGACTCGACCGTGCTAAAAAATAGCAGAAGTGAGCGGTGAACTGTGGGAATTAGGTTAAATTTCACTGTTCAAAAAAATATTCACGAGCAGTCCATGTCGAAAAATAAAAAAGTATTGGATGGGCGCTACGAGAAACAATGAATGAAATGTTTAGAAAACGAAAAACTAAATACGAAAGGATCATCAATTATGATGGCAGTTTATTGCTGATTCACATGGCCCACAAAAAGTAGTTGAAATGTTTTAGCAAATATCTCTGACTAGCATTAAACGTAAATTAATCAGCCAACTTCACTAAGCCCCAGAACCTTGCCTTGGACTTTTAAGAGCAGCAGGATGACAACAAAAATTCGCACTGTTACCTATTGTGAACTTAAAAACAAAAAAAATGTAAATATAGCAAAATTAAGGCAGTTGTCCTGTCTATATCGATATGCACCTTTAACTAATGCATCGTCAATTTGCGTCACTGTTCTTTGGTTTTGCATTTAATAATTCGCCACTACGGATACTGTAAATAAATCGAATTCGAATCCAAATCAGCAACTCATTTGAAGGCTTACCTTGTAATTTAAAAGACAAAAAGATAAACTATATGGTATATATGCGTATTTGTAATTAGTTTTTTATGAAGAGATTGTTTTATAAATATTAACATAAATCTATAAAAGTAAATAAATGGGCGGCGCACTAGCTGCGAACTATAGTTTAAATATATGCATTAAAACCAAATCATGGCATAAATACAGTGAATGTTAAAGCGTAAATAAAAGTGTAAGCTGTTAAGTGAGAGTTATTAATAATTATCATACAAAACTCAATGCAAACGTAACCAATGTTAAACACATAAACACACAAAGGTACATCTAAACACTAACCGAAAAATATAAATACGAAAACTAAAAAAATACAGCATTCTGCAGGATACGAAGGATGTGTATTATGACAAGATAAAGATATACATAACACAATGGAAGCTGCGAACTATTGTAAGAATTTAAAACAAAACTGGAATAAATAATAAATATTGACGAATATGGATTTTGTTTTGTTACCAAATTGCTTTACAGAAAAGTAACTCGGAAAATAATTATCCTATCGATGAATGTTACAGCTTCCCGATCTTAGATCTCCTAGTAGAATAATTCTGCATCAAAACCTGGCCACCTAAAATCTGACCCGATTCTGCAAATTTTCATAGGGGTAACATCATGATATTTCTCGATTTTAATCAAGTTTTGATGCTGATTGAAGGCAGTGAGTTTCCTGATTAGTAAATGGTAATCCTTTTCCAAATCCGATGAGAAATAACTGAAATATGGGGTAGAAAGTGTCTTAAAAGTAACCATTTAGGCCATCCTGTTCTTCGCTTGGTCAGAAAGGTTTTCCGGGGGGATTTTTTTCAGGAAAATATCCATAACTCTGAAAATAATTATCCTATCGATGAATGTTATACCTTCCCGATCTTAGATCTCCTAGTAGAATAATTCTGCATCAAAACCTGGCCAACTAAAATTTGACCCGATTTTTGCAAATTTTTATAGGGGTAACATCATGATATTTCTCGATTTTGGTCAAGTTTTGATGCTGATTGAAGGCAGTGAGTTTCCTGATTAGTAAATGGTAATCCTTTTCCAAATCCGATGAGAAATAACTGAAATATGGGGTAGGAAGTGTCTTAAAAGTAACCATTTTGGCCATCCTGTTCTTCGCTTGGTCAGAAGGTTTTCCGGGGGATTTTTTTCAGGAAAATATCCATAACTCTGAAAATAATTATCCTATCGATGAATGTTATACCTTCCCGATCTTAGATCTCTTCGTATAATAATTCTGCATCAAAACCTGGCCAACTAAAATTTGACCCGATTTTTGCAAATTTTCAAAGGGGTAACATCATGATTTTGGCCAAAAAACGACCAAAAATTTTATTTCTCGATTTTGGTCAAGTTTTGATGCTGATTGAAGGCAGTGAGTTTCCTGATTAGTAAATGGTAATCCTTTTCCAAATCCGATAAAAAATAACTGAAATATGTGCTAGGAAGTGTCTCAAAAGTAACCATTTTGGCCATCCTGTTCTTAGCTTGGTCAGAAAGGTTTTTCGGGGGGATTTTTTTCAGGAAAATATCCATAACTCTGAAAATAATTATCCTATCGATGAATGTTATACCTTCCCGATCTTAGATCTCTTCGTATAATAATTCTGCATCAAAACCTGGCCAACTAAAATTTGACCCGATTTTTGCAAATTTTCAAAGGGGTAACATCATGATTTTGGCCAAAAAACGACCAAAAATTTTATTTCTCGATTTTGGTCAAGTTTTGATGCTGATTGAAGGCAGTGAGTTTCCTGATTAGTAAATGGTAATCCTTTTCCAAATCCGATGAGAAATAACTGAAATATGGGGTAGAAAGTGTCTTAAAAGTAACCATTTAGGCCATCCTGTTCTTCGCTTGGTCAGAAAGGTTTTCCGGGGGGATTTTTTTCAGGAAAATATCCATAACTCTGAAAATAATTATCCTATCGATGAATGTTATACCTTCCCGATCTTAGATCTCTTCGTATAATAATTCTGCATCAAAACCTGGCCAACTAAAATTTGACCCGATTTTTGCAAATTTTCAAAGGGGTAACATCATGATTTTGGCCAAAAAACGACCAAAAATTTTATTTCTCGATTTTGGTCAAGTTTTGATGCTGATTGAAGGCAGTGAGTTTCCTGATTAGTAAATGGTAATCCTTTTCCAAATCCGATAAAAAATAACTGAAATATGTGCTGGGAAGTGTCTCAAAAGTAACCATTTTGGCCATCCTGTTCTTAGCTTGGTCAACAAGGTTTTCCAGCGGGATTTTTTTTCAGGAAAATATCCATAACTCGGAAAATAATTATCCTATCGATGAATGTTATACCTTCCCGATCTTAGAGCTCCTCGTATAATAATTCTGCATCAAAACCTGGCCAACTAAAATTTGACCCGATTTTTGCAAATTTTCAAAGGGGTAACATCATGATTTTGGCCAAAAACGACCAAAAATTTTATTTCTCGATTTTGGTCAAGTTTTGATGCTGATTGAAGGCAGTGAGTTTCCTGATTAGTAAATGGTAATCCTTTTCCAAATCCGATGAGAATTAACTGAAATATGTGCTAGAAAGTGTCTTAAAAGTAACCTTTTGGCCATCCTGTTCTTAGCTTGGTCAGAAAGGTTTTCCGGGGGGATTTTTTTCAGGAAAATATCCATAACTCTGAAAATAATTATCCTATCGATGAATGTTATACCTTCCCGATCTTAGATCTCTTCGTATAATAATTCTGCATCAAAACCTGGCCAACTAAAATTTGACCCGATTTTTGCAAATTTTCATAGGGGTAACATCATGATTTTGGCCAAAAAACGACCAAAAATTTTATTTCTCGATTTTGGTCAAGTTTTGATGCTGATTGAAGGCAGTGAGTTTCCTGATTAGTAAATGGTAATCCTTTTCCAAATCCGATGAGAATTAACTGAAATATGTGCTAGAAAGTGTCTTAAAAGTAACCTTTTGGCCATCCTGTTCTTAGCTTGGTCAGAAAGGTTTTCCGGGGGGATTTTTTTCAGGAAAATATCCATAACTCTGAAAATAATTATCCTATCGATGAATTTTATACCTTCCCGATCTTAGACCATTCTTCGATTTTGGTCAGTTTATGCTGATTAAGGCAGTGATTTTGATAGTAAATGGTAATCCTTTCCAAACCGATGAGAATTAACTGAAATATTTAGAATTAAACTTTTTTTGAATATAAAATAAATAATAATTCTGCATCAAAACCTGGCCAACTAAAATTTGACCCGATTTTTGCAAATTTTCATAGGGGAAATCATAATTTTGGCCAAAAAACGACCAAAAATTTTATTTCTCGATTTTGGTCAAGTTTTGATGCTGATTGAAGGCAGTGAGTTTCCTGATTAGTAAATGGTAATCCTTTTCCAAATCCGATGAGAAATAACTGAAATATGGGCTAGAAAGTGTCTTAAAAGTAACCATTTAGGCCATCCTGTTCTTAGCTTGGTCAGAAAGGTTTTCCGGGGGGATTTTTTTCAGGAAAATATCCATAACTCTGAAAATAATTATCCTATCGATGAATGTTATACCTTCCCGATCTTAGATCTCTTCGTATAATAATTCTGCATCAAAACCTGGCCAACTAAAATTTGACCCGATTTTTGCAAATTTTCAAAGGGGTAACATCATGATTTTGGCCAAAAAACGACCAAAAATTTTATTTCTCGATTTTGGTCAAGTTTTGATGCTGATTGAAGGCAGTGAGTTTCCTGATTAGTAAATGGTAATCCTAATCCTAAAGTAAATGGTAATCCTAAAGTAAATTAGTAAATGGAAATATGGGCTAGAAAGTGTCTTAAAAGTAACCATTTTGGCCATCCTGTTCTTAGCTTGGTCAGAAAGGTTTTCCGGGGGGATTTTTTTCAGGAAAATATCCATAACTCTGAAAATAATTATCCTATCGATGAATGTTATACCTTCCCGATCTTAGAGCTCCTCGTATAATAATTCTGCATCAAAACCTGGCCAACTAAAATTTGACCCGATTTTTGCAAATTTTCAAAGGGGTAACATCATGATTTTGGCCAAAAAACGACCAAAAATTTTATTTCTCGATTTAAGTGATGTTTTGATGCTGACTGAAGGCAATGAGTGTCCTAATTAGTAAATGGTAATCCTTTTCCAAATCCGATGAGAAATAACTGAAATATGTGCTAGGAAGTGTCTCAAAAGTAACCATTTTGGCCATCCTGTTCTTAGCTTGGCCAACAAGGTTTTCCGGATGGATTTTTCTGGATAGCCGCATGAGCTAGGATTTATAACCAGATGCCTTATGATTTACAAAAATAAATATCCTTGATCCAGGTTTTCTTATAATTTTTTATAAATAAATACCATTCAGTTTGATTTTTATAATAAACTTTATATATTTATATTGTTTTATATATAATTTTGTATAATTATGTGTTCGTGTAACTTCTAGAGCAATACAAAATGCTACAACTACTAACTATAATTTACTGGCATACTTATTCAATAAACATTATGTTAACATATATTATATACAAGTTGTGAATTTAGTTTGTTATGCTAAAACGCAAGTATTCACACAAGGGTTTAATTGTATTACTTATATCCGTATTTACATTCGATTACATTGACACTTTATCCACGCTACACACATGATAGTATTAAAGAGGACAGTGTTAATGGGCGTATGCTAAAGCGCTAGCTAAATTATTTATAATATTGCAAAAAACAATTGGGACTTTTAGTTGAAATATTGACAGTCCCACAGTGGAAATTCAAGTAATTACAAACAAGGCAGGGAGGGTATGACATACAAATGTGATGTGAAGAAGTTTCCAACTCAGTCTAGACACACAAAAAACTGCATAGGAGAGGAAGGAGCTCTATTCTGGTGTATGGTAATCACAAAGCCTCAACATATATGTTAGTTTTCCATACAACAGCATCTTATGGCTATCATATGAGCTAAGCTGACATTTGAGTTCAGTGACATGGAGCCGTTTGGATTCCCTATTTACAGAATTGTGCTTAACTTATTAGTTACCGAGATTAGCAACCAAAACTCGTCGTTTACTGGAACACTTTGCGGTTGGCTTGTTTTCTAACCCCTTAAATTAACAAAATCCACACATGATGCATTTACAAAATATTTTAAAATGACACATTATTGGAATTGGGCTGTCGGTAGCGATAGTTTTAATCAGATCTTTGGCCTTTACCAATCAGCTCTGTCTGAAAACTTTTCAGTCTAAATGCATTCCCGTGTGGCATTCATTAATTTGTTACATTCGTTACATTTTCTATATGTTTTTCATGAGTTTTAGATTCTCAAAAAGGCATATAATAGCGTTCGCCTATTTTGTATAATTTTATTTTACAATAATTGCCAAGCAACATCAATGAGCAAAGAAACGTAGTCATAAAGTAGGGCACTCCAACAACCACTTGGTTGGTTGGGATATGTTTCATAGTACTAAGGATATCTATAATGGAGTGGGGTGGGACAACTTAGGTGGTAGGAGTCTAATCTGAAGACATATTCAATGAAACTAAACAATAATTTGCACTAATCAAAATGTTTATAAATGTGTATTTCTTAATGATGCATTTTCATGTTTTCATATCGATTCATATTGTTAATGCTTAGTGTAAATAAATTATATCACAACAATAGAGACAAAGTTTGTGGTTCAAAGGTGCATCGGCGTGTGCTGGCTTTTTTTCGTGTCGAGTCGATCAAACTGAATACAAAGAGACATCATCATATGGGAATTGGAACAGATAGTATTTACGGGCATTGGTTCAACATGCACACAGAAAGTTACATTTAAATATGATTAGGTATTTGTTTATGAATATAAAGTTTTGTTTTGTTGTTTGTTTTATGGGGGAAGGGGGGAGAGCAGCCACACACGCGTAGCAGAGTTTCACTGAGATCCAAGACAAGAGTTGCGCCGAGCTACGTTTTAATACTAACTCTTGCTGAGCGCCTTTTTCTTTCTTTGTACTAGGATATCGTAGAAGGGGTTGTGGCTGATGGACTGCGTCAGGCGCTTGATCCACTCCTGTTGATCCTCCTCCGTGGCGGCGGACATGCGGTACACAGTATGCTTGCCCTCGACCACCTAAATAAAATATATATTAGTACAAGCTTCTAAAGATAATATATCCATTTCTAACCTTGCCCTCGGAGTCGGTTTTGCATGCCTTGATAATATCAGCACCGCCAGTTGCAAAGAGCTCGAAACAATGCGGTTTGCTGCGATCATGAATTTCCCGCACCGATATATTCTCCAGCGGTATAATGCCACGCGGCTCCTTATCGGTGGTGTATTCGAAATAGTACAGGCAATTGTCGTTCAATATGAACCAACGTCGTTTCCACGATTTGTATCTAAATTGATTATAAAATTAAATTATTATTAGTAAAGTAATTAAAGGAATGGATATCGATTTAACTCACCTGCCGCCTTGCTTCCACAGCCAGCCCTCCTTGTCGGGATTGAAGAAGGTGTGCATCAGATCATTGCCATCATCCTGGGGTATCTTGAAGGGCTCGGTTCGTATGGACTCGTACAGGGACTCGAGTAGACCCCGGGGCAAATCACCGCCGTTGTTGATGCCACGATTCATCGAGATGAATTGTTCAACGGTGGGTTTGTCTTTAACCTGCAAGAAGCCATTAAAGCCAAAGGGTTAAAAGTTGTACAAGAAACCTAACCGTAACCTTGCCTAACATAACTATAATTGCCCTGGCATGCGAAGTATGGCATGCGTGCCAACATAAGAAAATCATTCTTAATTAGCGGCTTCCCTTTGCCTACAAAGTGGCTAGTAAAATGCAATAGAGCTTGCGTTAGATGCCTCTACACTTGACCTATTTATAGACCCTGCATAGCGTTTAGTAATTGCCCTCAACGACCGGGCGGACGCACGCCCTGTCACTCGCTAAACGCGGAAGTAAATTTCTGTGTTTCTGCCGATAATTGCGGCCTGACAACCAGCGAATAAGAATTCAATTCAACGAGCAGTTCTCTTTATGGTTTTGGCAAGAAATACTATTTCCTGACGGCTGCCCCGAGAACATCCGGTTGCCAAAGTTCACTCCCTAGTAGATGCCAATAATTAATTTTAGCAATTGCCTTTTGTGTACTTTTGGTTAGTACATCCCAATACTATCTAGGTTTCTTACTCACCGATGGATTGTGCAGGGAGGTGTTGAGCATTATAATGGCAAAGCTAAGCACATAGCAGGTATCCGTGTTGGTGAATATATCCGGATTGAGTTGGCAATAGCGCTGGGCGAAGCACTCCATCATGCGATCGATCTTTTGCGCCTCGCCGGGCAACCGAAACGACCAAAGAAATTGTCTGAAGATGTGGGGGAGAAAGGTGGGCCATTAGCGATAGTGGTAATTACGAGTTACGGTTTTTGTGGAAAGTGGAAAACATACCTAAGGGCTTGCACTAGAATGAGATTGGTGAAATCGTGGAGCGCCACAAAGGCCTTGAGCACATCCTCATTGAAATCGTTCTTTTCGCCAAGGTAATCGCCTGGAATGGATAGCAAGGACCATTAAAATTTATGTCGACTGTGGGTATAATTGATTTTGTTGTTTATTTTTTTCGGGAAGGGCATGGGCATTGGGGCAAGGTCAGTTTAACGACTTACCTATGGCCGTTTTGTTAAGGCCCTCGCCCTTGTAGAGGAAATGCGCCACATCCTGGGGATCGTGACGCAGCAGTCTGTTCTCCACGAGATACTCAATGCCTGGAATGAAACAATAAAGAAAGAAATGTATAGTTTCACGACTTTGTAATCGATAAGAAAGCAGAACCCGGAAGCTCTTCAACAAGCAAATCAAATCATATAATGTACCCATATATGCCATCACTCAGAAGCAACGACCCGCAACATAAACCACAGCCATCTCCATAAAAAATACTAAACGGGGAAGCACTGAGGGAGTGCCGCCGCCTTAATAATAACGATTTCATTATTTTCCAATCAACGAGGAGGCCTCACATAGAATTATTAAATGCAAACACAAATGTATCGAAATAAATGAAAAGGAATTCGCCAGGTGACGTCGTTTCAGAGATTGGATTTTCTGATTGAAGTCAACAATGACATCGACATCGGGGAACTCCAAATGATGTAGATAATGACGACTCTGCCGCAGGATGTGGGGAAAAGTTCTTCAACAGCAGTTGGCTACCAATGTTGGTAAACAGAAAGTTTTGCGTGACTTCGGAAGCATCACGCGCGATTAACATTGTTGCCAAGTTAGTGGCACGGTAGTCGCCCTACAGGCATCATTTGTGCGTTATGGATGGCGCATTTGTGTGCTATTATTTCAAGACCCTATGGGTGTGGGTTTGTTTGCGTGGATATCTGATAATCGGGCGATAAAGCGACAAATGACGATGACACCACCACCGACTCTGCTGAACAGCCTCTGTCCCTGCTGCCACCACGACGTGTGGAAGTTTTTTAATAAGCGACATCGTCTCTTTTCTGGCCGGGATTCGATTTGGTGCTTTTGTTATTCGCTCCACCATACCACAAGGCCTACCTACCACCAGAGCCTCCCACTTTGGATTAGCATTTTTATTGTGCTCCCTATAGATATCCGGAATGCTGGGCAGGATGTGTGTCTGGAAGTTGTAAGCTGCGTGGCCTAATTTCGACTTGTCGACGTTAATTTATGGCCAAGAGAGGTTGACGTAAATATTTGATTGGCTTTAAACGAGTGGTGCGAGATGGGTGGTGGGCTGTGGGTTGATGGCTTGTGGAATGTGCTTAGATACGGCGGAGATATTGAGACGTTGAGGCAAACATGCTGACATGTGGGTCACCCCATGTAGGTGCTCCAGAGTGTCATCAAAATGGAAATTTATTGAGCACTTTGCTAATAAATCAAGAAAGGGATAGGGGTTTCTGTTGAGCCTTCTAACACTCATATAATACCAAAAAAAGTATCTCCCAAATATGATAAATTTATTTAAAAATACAATTCTTTTCACAAGTGATCTAATTCTTAGAAACAGCATGAGTTCGAACGCCTTGAACATGAAAATAATTACTGATCCCCATTTGGCTTCAGATGTTCAAATATTTTTAATGATGTGCACACATATCCTCACCCATTTAGGTCTTTATCTTTTGGATATAAATATATCTGTACTTCAAACGAATCACCCCAAGGCGTCCTTGCAGCGGGGCATTCTCGGTTCTTGGACAAGTTCTTGGTATTATTGCGACATTGACATTTCCATTAAACGAAACACTCGAGTATTCTAGGGGTGTTCCTCCAGCCCACCACACGGATGTCAGCTCCTCAGATGTCAACGAACTGTCAAATTTGTCAGAATTTCAAGATAGTGAGCGACACCCCCAGAAAGTCAGCTTGCAGGGGCTCATTACGTTATTAAATTAGCGTTAAAATTATCATTGAAGAACGTGTTCGCACGCTCCTAGCCAGCCAACCCCTTGATCTTCCCCTGATTTTGCATGGTAATTTCGCTTTTTGGCGCCGGGGCACGCTCTCAGGCTTCCTCTGAGAAGCCAGCCATGCCACACACTACTTTGCCCCCCACTCACTCATCGGCTCAATTATAAAGCATTTTGTCTGACTTCATTGTCGTGGCTCTGGGGTGTTGTCTGTCGCTCGACTGTCATTCGGAATTCATTTAAATCATCACATCCATCGCCAAAGTTTACATTTCCCGACACGGAGCGACACTCCCTACTTGATGGCCAAATAATCCCCCCCAGATTACAATATATGGGAAGAACCCTCGATTGCACGCATTTGCATATTGATTCGGAGTGAATCACCAGGAAATTAAACTCACAATTGAACCATAATTTCAGGGTTTAAGTTGAGGGCTTCAGACTTTCAAAGGGAACTCACCTTTTTTCGGGTCCATGTTGAACTTTTTCCGGCCAATGGACATCTGCTTGTCCTTGTTGGAATGCTTACAGTCTTCGGGCACATCGAGTGCCTCCATTTCCGAGACGACCTCGCACAATTCATCTTTGATTTGCTGCAAAAAAAAATGTATAATTTTGAAAAATAAATTCAGGAAATGTCAGCAACAAGTGTTTCTATAAATAGGCCTACAGTTGGCACTCTACAATTTCCAGTTAATGAAACAGATCAGTTTAAGTGACTAAACTGCGTGTTGTATCTATAAAAAAAGACTAAAAATTCTAAGCACACACAGTTGCAAAGTCGAGTAATTTGCATTTCCTCAGTGCCGTAGTGCCGTGTCGCCTGTCGACTGGCGCCAAATAAACAACAAACTGGGCGAACGACGCGACATCAACTCGAAACAATTTTGAAAATTCGTCGGCTCTAGAGTCTAGTATCTAGAATCTAAAGCTAAAAATACCCGAGGTGGTTGTGGAAAAATAGAGCAGAGCAATAAAGTCAAATGCAAAGTTAAGTTAATTGAATTAAAAAACTACCTGACACTGAACACTGAACCGGAGACATCGCGACATGGCTGTCAGTCTCCAAGGAACGGTCATATACGTTAAGGGTATATAGGTTAAGGGTCATTCTGAAAGCACAAAAGTATCTGGTATCTGTGAGATACTCCAAGTCGCGCTACCAAGTTGACGCATGAATGATGAGAGATCCACGAGACCGGAACATATCAATTGCCCCCAACAATCATTCGCAGCCCAGGGCCTCTGGAGCTGACCTTCTGACTCATTGGATGAACATGCCGGAGCCAGAGCGAAGGGAGCAATGTCAATTAGAGCCTATAAAGTACAATTGACAAATTGTTCCAAGTAGCGAGTATTGTAATACGCACAGGCACTATACATATATGCAAATGTTTCTTCACACATTGTTGCAGTTGAGATTCTCGATTCTCGAGTCTCGCTTCTCGATGAGATCACAACTGGGAACCTTCGATTAATTCGCTCTGTCAGTGACTCTGTCAAAATACGGAGACTCAACCGGTGCCAAGTTCTCAATGATTTCAAGGAATTTGAATTCTCGAAGCGTGTCACAAAGAATAGCTAGCCAGACAATGAACTGTAAGAGTTTTTTTTTATGGATTGATGATCGTAAAATACCAGACAACTTATTAATATTTTCAACTGCAAGACTATTTTATGTCTTAATTCCCAAAACATACATTTTTCTCAGGCTTCCAGCAATTTATTTTCATTACCCACACTACATCCTTCATTAAGCTTTTCCTAATTATGTAAATTTTTAAGTTTTCTAATCGCTACCCAGTATCAGATATCAGAAAATTAGTAGAGCCCTGGGCTACCACAATGCTACACCCTATAAAAATCATAGAAATCATTCAGAGATGAGGCCTGGAACCTGAAACAGGTTCTGGACGGCGATGATTAAAAAGCTAAAAGTGGACGCGGCTTGTTGACAAAAGAAAGAGCTGCTCTGGCGGGGCAGCTACGGCTAATGAGCGTCAAACTTAAAAATAAACTCAACCTGAGGTTTAGTATCTGGCAGATACACCGGACAGGTAAGAGAATACGAGGAATTCCCACAGAAGCACATGAACAAGTGTCGTGTGTTGGGGGGCAGGAGACACTCACTGGAACAGGTTCTCACTCCGAATTCTTTGAATCGCAAGGAAATTAAAAACAATCGAATTGAAAGCAAAATTAAGGTGCGAATTGGGGTTTTCGATGAAACTGTTTTAGGGAAATCACAAGTGAGACAAAGTTTGTTTATTTTTGGGGGAAAGTTTCGTCAGAAGAACCTCATAAATGATGAAGATAACCATGATCTCCTTAGGAATCTCTGGAATCCAACTAGAACCCCCTCTCTCTATCTCAAGCATACCTTTCCGGGTCGCCGGAGGATCACCACATTGCCACTCTGCTCCGCATTGCTGCGGTTTCTCTCCAGGAGCGTGCGACAGCTCTCGCACAGATTCGACTGCTGGCCGCTGTTCCGCTTCCCATTCTTGTTGTTGGTGTCATCATCATTGTTGTTGTTATTGTTGTTGTTGTGAGTGATCGAATTACGCTCGGACTCGCTCTGCGAATTGGAGCTGTCGTCGATGAAGCGAAGATCACCGGCATCGGGTGTCAGCGGGGAGCTGAACCCCGAGCTGGGATCCGTTTCCAGTTGCAGGCCATGGTTATCCACACCACCGGGATTACCGGCATCCTCCGTCTCCACATCCAGCATGCAGCCGAGGGAGTTGGAGCGAGTGGTGCGAGGTGGCCGCCGGGCAATGATCTCCCCCTTCTCGTTGAGCAGCAGTTCCACCGGCCGGGACACAATCAGAGTCCTGGTCGTCGTGGTGGTAGTGGTGTTCGTGTACTCTATCCTCTTGGTCACCAGCTCGGCGTTGGGCTCGTCGGGGCAGGGCTGACGCTGGACGTCGATGACCTTGCTCCTGACATCGCTGCAGGTGACCGTTTCGGTGCTGAGCGTGGGGCTGGCGGGCGGAGGGCTGTCCGGGGAGAGGTTGGTGATCTTGTAGGTGGCCACACTGGTGTAGGGCGCCAGGGAGGGCGAGCGCGGCTTGGCTGGTGGCTTGAGGGCGACCTTGGGCGTGGCCAGGGGGGTGGGCGTCTTGCTGGACTCGCTCTTGCCGGGCAGCAGGTTGCAGAAGCATCGCGTGCACACGCTGCTCAGGCTGCTGCCGCTACTGCTGCCCTCCTCCACGAGGCGACGTCGGTCCTCCTTTGAATCCGCCGAGGAGACATGCAGGGGATTGATGTAGAAGGTGCTATTGCTGCGCCGACTCCCCGGGGAGCCGGCCACCGAGAAGCCAATGCCCACGCCCACTCCCACTCCTCCGCTGGCCACCACATTGGAGGAGAGGTCAATGCAGCTCCGCTGCAACTGCTGCTTGCTGCCGAAGCTGCCACTGCCGCCCAGGCCGATGGAGTTCTTCTTATTTTTGGGCTGGCGGCGCAGCGATGAGAACCAGTTGCTGATACTGGGGCGCTTCTGCTGAAGGTGGGCCATCCCTCCTCCTCAATTGCTCACTTCCTGGGGAACAAGTTTCTCTCTCCTCTCTCTTTTGGGGGCAACTATCAATTACGAGTGTGCCCCTCCATGGTGTGGCAGAGCTGAAAAGTGGTAGAGGTCTTAGTTTAGGCAACTCTGAGGATCGCAGCCTCTTGTGTCTGGCAATTTACAAGTACGGGACGGCGTCATAAATGAATTAACTAATTAGGATTGTCTCTCCGGTCCTGGGATTGCGAAGCCCTACAAATCCTCGCCAAAAGATACAGGAAGTGTCGGGGATAGCATAACCTCGAAATTGAATTTTTCGTCTGGCGTCGCAACATTTTTCAGGTTTCCCACACTACGGAGCCCAGGACCGAAGGAGCGTAGACACAAAACGAATTACGCTAATGGCCTGCAGGTTAACAAGGTGATGGCGTTCCCCGAAATCCCAGGACGACATCCCGAGCAGACGCGAAGAAAAGGACACTTCCTCTTCCGTGTGTGATTTGTCGACTTGCGGCTTAAAGCGTTGAATCAACAAAACCCAATGCCAGGATCTGGGAATGGGACACCACCACCACCAAAACCATTCCTTTGTCTTGTGATTTATTGGGATTTCTTTTATTTTTTTTTGGGGCTTCTTTGCACTTGGTGTCTAATGTTTGCTTTGTGCATTATTTTCCAGGCCAGGCGGTGGAGTTCCGGAAGGAAGTGAGCACGATAAAGCTCGGGAATTGTTTTTCGTTAAAAAACAGGCGACAGAACTCTAATTGGGGTCGGTATTCTGGGCTCTGTCGCTCAGTTCATGGAATATTCACTGAAGCATATGCAAAAGTTTAGCCAGACGAAGATATTCGAAAATTTATGACATTCCTTTCTCCAAAGATATAATTGTTTAGGGTGTCTGATGATTCCAACCATCGGGATACAATTTATTAAAAAAGAAATGCCAGAATATGTCACTTTAAATGGCCATCAACTTCATCCCTATTTTGTTTCAAAACCAACAAGGGTTAAGGTAATCGAAAGGGAGTGAAGCCACCCACTTAGACCTCCAAGTGGAGCCTCCAATTAGGCTCAAAATTACACCCAACTAAGGCCTATAAATACTCAAGAATTCACTTTGATTTTTAGTAAATAGGCCGAACACAAAGCATCCCTCGAAAGTTGCCAAAAAAAAATATTTACTTTAATCAATGTTAAATGGTTTCGGGCCCCTAGCTTGTAAATGAAGCGTGTGCTCTCTAATGTCCCATCTGGGACCTGGGTTACAGGGAGTTGAGTAAATGACAAAGTCACCCGTCGGGAGGCAACAATTGCCTGAGTTTTGGCCTTGCCACACCCACCACGAGGCACAAGGCCCAGGGCCCAACCAAATAAAGTCTTTGAAAGAGTTTTGGCATCCTTTTTACGGCGCCTACGTGATTGGATTGCACAAATGAGCGAACATTCAAATGGATTGCATTTAATATGATGCCCAGTCCATGTACATAGATACGATCCTTATATAAAATAATGGCCAACGATAGAAGGTAAACAAGAGAGAACATTAAAGGCGCGGCCAGGTAGGAGACCCTTGAAGACCCAGACCGGAGAACACACAGGTGAATGGCACGTAAGAAAACACTGAAGAAGAAGGAAAACAAGTAAACTAAAATGAAATTAAATTTGTAAACAAACTATCAATCAAACTGAAGCCGACTGAAGCCGACAGAGAGTCAAAGACACACACACCTCGAACCGAAAAAGATACAAATAAAGAGATCCCACAGATACCGATACCGATACTGAGGATGAGACAAGCTGAAGTGGCCCATCAAAGCTGTGATTGTGACGGCGGCTACCTGAGTAGAACCTGAGAACAGGAAATGCAAACCAATAGCGTGTATGGCTTTAACCCTTGGCTGTAACATTTCCCAATAGTCTTAACCCATAATGAATGAGAAACAGTAGCCACAAAACGGGGCGTGTTTCGGGCCATTTATCTTGACAATTTAATCTACACTTTACACTTTGCCAGCCAAACAATTGAAAACCGCTGGCGAGCGCCTTTTCTTGGCCAACACCAACTGGCTTGAATAACCCTTTTGTCTGGGATTTCCAATTAGAAAATCAGACACATAAACAATGGCCCAGACCGAGAAACAAGCTCGCAAGTCCCATCTGGAGAAATGCGAGGGGTAAGCTTTTACATTGTAGACAGTAGTGTCTGGCTGGCTGGATTTGAGTTTTCCCATAAGTGACTTTTACTTTCAGTCTGCAAAATGCAATTAAACGCAAGCTTTCATCTCTCACTCTCACAATTGCGACACTTTTCCCTTCTTTTTTTGTCGGATGTATCTCAGCATTAAGTGTATTTGTGTATCTATGTATCTCAGTCTCGGGTCAATGGCTCTCACGATGATGGAAAGTGTGAACTCTTGAGCTGCAATTGTTATTGATTGTCTGTGTAGAACATGCTAAGAGGCTTTTCCAAACTAAGAGCCTTAGCAAATTGAAATGAGAATAATATTTTTCGGTGGGGGATATGACTTCACTTTCTCGATGGGAAACCTTTCAAAGTATTACCATTTTAAGAGCAAGCCAAAAAAAAAACAAAAAAAAACACTATTCCGCTAATGATCAAAACTTGTCTAACTTAGACGCTCATAAAAAAAAAACAAAAAAGAAATCTAAAAATTGCCCATATAAAACAACAAATCCATATTACAATAGCCATGATGGCTGCGCATAACCTCGCCATATGTAGGATATATAATATCTGTAGTTGCGTCATTTGTCTAAATCGAGAAAGATGCAAATTTGTGGCCATCGGGCGTAGCATGGCATTAGTGAGACTAGCAGCTGAATTTTAGGAGCATAAGGATAACTAAACAAAAAAATAAAGCCCAAAAAAACAAATAGATAATAATAAACAAACACGTCTGGGCCAGGCCTGGCCGCCTCCATAAACGTAATGAGCAATGATACACCATAGATACTAGATAGATGACCTCCCCTGGGGCGGCAGCAGCTGGAGTCTTCCCATCTCTATATATATTATTTATATTTGGCATTTGTTTATAATATGTAGAATGGCATTTGGTCATTTTTTATGCTCACTGAACAGCACACATGCTGAAAGATATCGTCTGCCCTTCCAGTTTCAAGAAAATATTTCTATTGATTTAATTTATTAAAAAATAAAGAAGAATGATGGAGCATCTATCCAAGGCCGCTGGCCACTTTAAGCTCTAAGCTAATATATATTTATCCCCATATATTTTCACCATAAATCTCATTCTCTCCCCGATCTGCCTCGGTGAACCATTAAAAACGCAAGTTCGTTGGCCCACTTCGCCGGCCGGCCGGGCCACACAATCAACAATGTCCGCCACCAGAATCCAAAATGTCTAAAATAAATGTGTTTTTAATGAAATGCCTTTTGTTTCTAGAACCAGAACCGAGAGGTGGCTGGACAAAAAGGTGAGTAGTAGTCTCCGGGTATAGAATAGAAAATTGAGATACGGGTACGTGTCTCTGGATTCTCGGGCCTACCAGGGCTCAGATACCTGAATATGCTTTCCACTCCCACAATTATTACGTGCCGGGTTCCCCCTTTTTTTTTGGCAGACCTGGCACACCATTTCCCACAGCTCATTAGAATGCCGTTTGGAGAAGAGACAAGAATGCGAGCGTGTATTTTTCAGTGTAATTAGAGGGATATTGTATGGTTCCATTGTAAAGAAATGTACACTTGGCTCACACATTCCAAGAGGCATTTCAGTTGTTTACACATAAATGCTAGTTACACGCGTTTTGCATACCAAGTACTATAGATACATTGTGTATCTGTGAGGTAGCAACAGGTGCACCTACTTTTATGGCAGCTCCCAAACAACAACCTCGTATTTTACTGATGTTTATTGATTGGGTTTTCCGCTTCTGTCCACTGGCGTCAATTTGCTAATTGTGCATTTCGCTTTCGGCCTCAATTCCATTCGCTGTAGCTTTTGTTTAGCCAACTAATTGTTGTATCTGCTAGATACATTCTACACTAAATAGCTAGCTATCTAGCATAACACTTTTTTCCTGGGAGATCGTGTTTTGGGTCAAGGTAGCCCCCCCTGAAAGGTCGTTGCCTGTTACCAGTGCAATGGATATGGAATGTGATTGATTGATTGATGGATGGATTGACGGATTCTGACACTGCGACATGGCCATTACATCAAAAACTTCCATTGCGAGAAGACATTTGGAATTTATGGAAAATATATATACTATTTTTGATTTGTATCTTGTGTTTGGAAGTTGGCAAGAAAGTTTTCAAATCTGGATGGCAGGCAACGAAATGGAATTTTTAACTTTTCCTTCATCAACTTTTACTTCTTGCCCTTTTTTTGGCCAACAAGTTTTTGGCAGTTGGACGTCTGCATACCAAACTCATTAGCAAATGAACTTGGCCGGGTTTAATTAGCTAACAACTAAGCCCACATGGTGCTCTCCCCATGGCACTCCATTAGGCCTAAATGATCATATTTAAATAATTTAATCAACCGGTTCTGAGGGTGTTGAAAATATTTAATATTTGAAATAATATAGAAACCAAAACCTGTTGGGCAATAATAAAAAATGCTTTATCTTTTTATAAATTCTTCTAAAAAACAGCATGATATTTGAGTTTCTCAAGCAATCTAATTTTATTTTCAAAGCTGCCAAGCCACTCTGAAAGTTAAAAAGAACAAAATTACAACGCATTAAGACCCCTGATAAAAATGCAAAAAATCGCCTCAAATAATTCCAGCGGATATGGGTTTTATCGCGTTGGAGAATATATCAAAAAAACCAAACAACATTTTGAAAACCCCAGCCAGTTGTACATAATTATACAGAAAGTACAAGATAAAACCAAAGGGAATTAAATAATTAACATTGAGTGTTGGTTGATTACACCAGAGAAGTCTTGGGAATTAAATATTAAATGTTGTTTTGAGGGCCCTGAACTCTTTAAAGCTGAAACACATAACCATATTACGTATGCATCCAAGGTTCAATCATAGGAGCTGCATATAAAGAGCAGCCCTTGCCAAATGCCAAACTTGGTGGCTATTTTTGGGCAAACACTTTCCATTTTGGAAAG